CAGTTGAAGCGAACCCTGGTGTGGTTTGAATGCGAAGTGGATCGGAAGAAGTGGACTACAGTGCCTCTGTGAAAACTACATCCTCCATGATCTTCTGCTTCATCTTCTGCTCATGCTAAGAGATTTGTTGGAAAACGTTTGGCACATTTTCCAAAGACAGAAAAGAAATCCTGCAAAATTTGTTTACATTTTGAGAAGAAGGAAGTTTTCCCCCCCGTGTCTTCTTTGGATGTTTTTGCATCTTTCTCTTCAGCGTCATCACAAGCATGGAGGGCAACAGGTTTTTCAAAGTGAAGCAAAGAGAAGAGGTCCAGTGGCCTTCTGTTTAAGCTGGTTGTCAAGTCCTGGGAGACTCAGAATCTATGCAAATCTTTAGGCTCTCATATTAGGGTCACCTGAGTTTTATTACTTTGATTAGATGCCATCTAGAGCCTAACATTTCATCTAGGAGTGATGCCAGCACAGTACAAACATCTTTTGTTATGTTACAAATGTAAATATGTGTAAACTTCCTGCTGTCAAGAACTATAAACAAATCTGGTGGACTTTGTCAGAAAACTGAAAATACATCTTCTGTCTTTTAACAAGTTTATAGTCCAAAGCCTTTGGTAAACTCAAGAGACATGATTAAAAAGACAGTTTCGTTTTCCTTCGAGTTATCTCAGTTCATTGACCTAACTCCTATAGAAAGTCGATGAGGTGAGATGAAGAAAAGTGAGGAACAGTCAAATCTCCATGTATTTGCTCCAGTCTTAAGAAATCTTCCATTGATTAATTGAAGATTGGATCTTCCAACAATTTTCAATTTCAATCACAAAAGAAATTTATATATATATATATATATATATATATATATATATATATATATATATATATATATATATATATATATATATATATATATATATATATATATATATATATATATATATATATATATATTATATATATATATATATATATATATATATATACATATATATCACCGTGTGTGTGTGTACTAGCTTTGATAAAATACATAGTAACTAATGAGGAGACGTGCCTTATATAAAAGAAGTGCCTGAACTCAGCGTCTCAAACACAACCGTGGTCCTCAGGTGAGCCTGGGCTGAATGTTCAGAGGCAGGCTGGGTGAGTGTTTGGGTCAGCAGAGTCTTCAGGGTCTCTAACAGCTCCAGAAAACACCGGTTACCTCTTCTCCTCTACACTAAGAAAGGTTTTAATGAGCAGATTCCTGTCCCCAGCGGAGATCCACGCTGTCATGAAAGCCGCTCTATTTCTGTTCCTTTTCATCCTTCTTCCCTCCTTCAGCCCTGACATTCATTATTCCTTCCATCTCCTTGGAGGGGGAGCGAAGCACTATAACTTACACTCCTCCTTCTCCAACCCCTCTCCCCCCCCCCAACACACACACACACACCTTCCTCCTTCAAATGCTGACTTAACGTTGGTGGAAATGTATCTAAAGTTAAAACTTTACTATACAATTTAGATTGAATTAAGTAACTTGTGTTGGTAGCATAAGCTTTCAATTAAATGTACAAGCCAAAATAATCACTGCAACACTAAGCAACTTGTTAGTCCTTGTTTATATTCTAATCCTTTCATAACTCTGGAGGCATTTCAAAGCCATTTGTCAGAAAAATACAGGAGTCTGTTTTTGTTTGCAACAACCTTCAGGATTCAATTCAATAAAAGTAAAAACATTATAAAAGATGTTCTTTCTGGGTATTAAATTGCGCCAGCATCTCTGCAGCCCGCTGACTAAGACGTTTTATTCCCTTTTTTTATTTTGGAAACAATAAAATCAAGTCAGTAAAATAAAATAAGTTATTCATTTTACTGGTTTTTATACTTTGCACCAGGCTGTATTCACACGCACAGACATCCTACAAAATCTGGATTTGATGTTGCGTTTGTAGTTAATCTCCAAGTTTATATTGGAGAAAATATTTTTTAAACCACAAACTTGAATTACTTAGTAATATCTGCGGAGAAGATATTTAGAAATGATTATAAACAACGGTAAAGAGACCCAGACTGTGCATGCCCAATATCACAATACCACAAAAAAGGTTCTGAAGTGAGTTTGTCCCTCTGCTAACTCATCCCAGCATTTTGAAGCAACACATTGCTACATTTTAAAATGTTTCTTTGAAGATAGCTGCAATCTTACTTCAAAGTGTATGTTCGTCCACCAACCATGCACTTTGTAGTTTTGGTCATTTTGCATTTGAAAACAGTGGGCAAGTCTTAAACAAAGCAACAAAAACTTCAAACAAATAACGGAAAGGGAATTAGCCAACAGTATCTGAAAACCACAAGGATACTGAAGCCTTTTTAATTTTCTTCATACTGTATGTTTATTTGGTCCCCACTGTTTCAAATGTAACCTAAAGTTAAAAATGACCAGACCAACACTGGAAACAAGACAAGTTTTGCCATGCTCCTGGAGCATCTTCTTTGTTTGAATGTTGATGGTACTATTATTGCCACCTTCTGGCGGGGCATAGGTATCACGGCTTTTTTGTTTAGAATCGCGCAGCTCATGTAGGTGCAGGTTTATTTCACAAATGAAGAAAAACGATTTTAAAAGATATTACTAATGTTGTAGCTGGGGCTTCAGAACTATTTTCTAATGAATGAAAAAAAGCTATTAATATGAATGCAACTCATCATTTTTTGCTATTTTTCCAGTGATACTTTCCATTTTACCAAAATGTCTTTAAACCTAAAATATTTTTGCCACTTTTGTTCATTCAGACTCAATTATAATACAGACCAGAATCAGACTGGAGTCCCCCACCAAACAGGCTGGACGTCCATAGGAAGAATCTGCCTGTAAGGCACGACCACTTCAGATCCTTCACTCTGCCTCACTGTGCGCACAGCATTGAATTAGAGAGCAGTTAAGGCAGTGGCTTGTAACTAGATAAAAGAGGAGAGAGGAAGGGAGGCAGGCATGAGGGCTGCCTGGGTGTCCTATAAATGACATTGTAATTCTCTGAACATGGGTTTTAGTGTAGTCGGCCACCATTAGGGGATGAGGGAAAAGGGAGGTATTTTTGCCACTTTATCCAGCCAAGCATCTCTAATGGCGTCTGCGTGTGCACGTGTGGATAAAGTCCACTCTGTCTGAAAACTCCCTCTGCCTCGACTCCTGTCAGCCATGTTCTGCTTCCACTTCTTTGTGCTCTGATAGTCTTAACAGACGTTCCTTATCACTGCGCTTAATGTACAACTCGGTAAATTAGACAATCATCAAAAAGCTTGTTTACTTCAATATTTTATATAAAAAAACAAAACAGAGTAATATATTTAAAAATATGTATTTTTTGGCTAAGAGCTAATGAAAAGCCCAAATGTGGTTTCTCATCAAATTTGAGTTACATGAGAATTATAGAAAGTTATTTTAAAGTCAGCCTGAGACTTCTTTAGGATGAATTCTTGTATCAATCAGGTGTGGCATAGAGCCATTCAACCAGTGGTAAAACACGCTTTTCTTTGAAATGTCTATATTCATGTATCTAAAATTAAGGTCTCAAAATGACTTAAAATAATTTTAAAAAATGTAAGATAGACTGAAATAAGTGAATCACAGGTCCAGGGTTTCCCCCAGAGTATTTAAGGCTTTATAATTGGTGTTCAGATATTAATCTCCCAATCTTTCAATAACACATAATTATGAAGTGATATTTTCACATTTTCTGTCAGCTTAAAAAAAGAAATTAACTCAAAAGCACAACGGGGCGCTGGATGAATGACTGCCCTAGCACCCAACCACCGGGCTTAGCGAGTTTTCTGGGGGAAATCCTGCAGGTGTTAACTGTTGTTGTGACTATTTAATTTTGTAGTTTCTGTTTCTCACTGGGATAAAAAGTTTGAGTCACACACAGACGTCTTTATTGCGCTCTGTGACTTGAGGCAGTTGAAGTTCAGGCTACCAGGAACAAGCTACTAACACACCTTAGCTAGCTTGTTTATGTCCATCCTGAGTAAGTGTAAATTTATTGCCAGTTGGCTGGACGACATCTTCGCCTCTGGCTCACATCTGTTGCTAACTCATACGATGCTACGTTCTTTCTGTGAAAAAAAAGCTTGGCACTACGAGGAGTAAGGTTGTAAAGAGCCATATGCAGAGTGAATAGCACAGATCTGCTAAGAGCCAAACAAAGACCTCAGAAATGCTCAGTTTTGCTCCCTTTGGGTGACTAAAGTTCCCCAGAAACCAGTCAGCGGTGCTGCATTTGGTGCGACAAAACTATGAAGTTGGAGGTTTAGTGAATTTCAAACACACACATATAAATATTTTTATGCATCAATTTGGTCATGATGGTCTTAAAAAAGTTCCTAAAGAATCGTAAATTTCAGATGGTGAAACCTGCAAAGACCCAGTAAAAACACCCAGGTTGCTTTAATGTTGGCGTCCAGCTCATGTGTTTCAGTTGGTGTGGAGTTTCTCATTTTTCCTCCAAGCCTCAACCCCTGACCTAAACATAAACCCAGCCTCAAAGCCAAACCTCTATGGGGTCGAGGTCAGGCCAGTTTACTGGCCAGTCAGGCACAGTGACACCAACTCAGTAAATTAGAGAATTTACTGTAAATCAGAAAACAAACTGGTGGAGTCTGAGTTTTAATTAACTGGATATTTTACTCATCAAAACAGCTTTGTATTTTCAAAATGATGTTTTACTTTTTGAGTGGAATCACTCAAAAAGTGATTCCATGCATTAAAATGCACTTGTATACACACAACAGCCTTTTTCCTGTAGAAATAAAAAAGGAATTATTCCAAAAAGGTGCAACGAAGTGGAAACATGGGAGGCAGCTGACTGAGCAAAGCACCTTCAGTGAGGGGAGGAGGGAACGTGTTTATGAAAATGCCATCTGCACATGCAAATAACAGATCAATAAAGCAATTAAGACATGGGTCAATCATAAAAATGGGCTGGGGAACAAAGCGTCCCAGACTGCTTTCACTCTCTGCTGCGTGAACCAACCTGAGAGACTGCCGCTTCGCTCTGAGCTGTTGTGAGAGCTGGTGGTGCTGAAATCTTGTGATTGGTTGTGTGGGATTCTATTAGACAATCCGTCGGCCAATCGGTAGTCGGGAATGAAAAGGAGGGCTACAGTGGAGGTTAGAGGGCAAAAATCACAGTGGCATCAGGTGACTGGCAGTTAGCACAAGCACATGCAATAACATGCAGTTAGAGCAACAAAAGCAAGCAGGGTCAACTCAGGAAACAGCATCAACGTGTGGAATTCACAGTTCAGTGGGAACGTTGGACTTTCTTTTTTGATAAATATATATATAGATATATAAATAATTTGAAAACTGTGGTTCTAATCTTCTGCCCTGACTATTCTCCTTTCTTGGAATGGGATCAGAGACTCAGCAGTGGAGATTATGCTTTTACTCCCAGTTCAGAAAGATATAATCACATTTTATCACAAGATTCATAAAAAGAGGGGACAAAGTAGGAAAAAAATTAAATAAAATGAATTGATTTTAGAGTGCTAGAAGATTAGATTATAAATATGTATTAAAATAGAGCCATTTTTAAAGTATAATTTTAAAAATATCCCAAGTTCATGGTAATGATCTCAGATGATTTTTTTCAATATTAGGAAATATAAAACAGATTGGCAATTATGCTAAAGCTAAGGGAGGAGTAGGCTCGCTATGAAAACTCTGTAGGAAATTAATGGATAGCTCAGCTGTGTAGCTCTTTTATGGGGGTTTATCTAACCTCAACCACAGAAACCAATATGATGACTGCTAGAAAATAACTACAAATAAACTTTTAAAGACATCCACTTTCCACCACAGTGAGGTTAGAAGGAATTTTCAGACTTTTGGTGGAGTTTAAGCTGAAGCATCAAATAGGCTGTGCTTTTACAACGGAACAAACTAGAGTTCAACTTCCCTCACAAAAGAAAGAACTTTGATGGCCAGATATAGACACGTTGCATGTTATTGTTTACATGCGGCGCAAACGCTGGAGGGCAAAAAGACAATCCTTTTACTTGCCATCTACTGCTGCACTACTGCAGTAGAAAAATTCTGTTAATGAAATGAAACCTGGAGATGCTGATGATTTTAATCCAGTGCAGTGCGTCACAGCAAAAGAACAAATCACACAGAAAAACAACTCAAAACCACGAGCATTCTTCCCCTTTCTCACTCTGTGTCCACTTTGCCACACACACACACACACACACACACACACACACACACACACACACACACACACACACACACACACACACACACACACACACACACGCCCACACACACACACACACGCACACACACGCAGACTCGTGGCCATAGCAACTGACTGACCACAGTTCAACTAACGTGTCAGGATTGGACACTAGAAACACCCCACACAAAGAAGAAATCATTCAGCCCGTTACAATATCACGTTTTCAGGCTCAATGTTCATTTTGCGGTTATTAATAAGTGATAGCTGAACATAGAGGTGATTGATTAGCCAATTTAAACACCCATTCTACTGATGATCTGTCAGAGTTGTTGTTGTTTTTTTTACTGAACTGAAACACACCAAACTCAACATCCACATATTAAGTTTGTCAAAGTCAAGCTAGCAAAACTGACCCACTTCCCACCGCCATCTTTCCTCTCCCTTGATAGTTTTTGTCTTAATTAAAAACTTTTTCCTGGGGAAAATGTTTTTGTTACCTAGTTTTCATTGTGCTGTCAATTAGTAGCAAAGCACTGCATCCCTTTTTCTTTCATATATCATGCGAACATTTAAGATGTTGCGCATAACGTTGATAACCTGACAGCTAAAGCTAAAGTGGTCATCATCCGTGAAGAGTTTTTTTGCCCTCTAGCAGGGGGCTGGTTGGTGGCATCTTGCGCACATGATGTCACATTACAATGTGTCTATATTCAAGTCTTAGAAGAAATAAAATCTGAAATGCTAAACACAAGTACAAACTTGATATAACCAGGTGTGAGAGGGATCTTTGACTCACTGTTGTTGCAGGAGTTCTTGTCAGGCAGGGAGTAGCCCAGGTTGGCCATTTCCTGCTTAGCTTGAAGTGAAGCCTTCCACTGGGCGTCGGGCAGATCCACGGCCAGCTCATGGATGCTGCTGGAGTGGAGGATCTGAGTGGTGGCGTAAGGATTGGCTTGGGATGTTTGACCAGGACTGTTATAGTTAGCCTTGGTGGTGAAGTCTATGCTGCTGTAGATGGCTCCGTCGGACAGCATGGTGCCCGTTTTATCTCCCTGTCCAGTGGGGAGATCTGGTAAAGAGAAGAAGAGGGAGCTAATTCAGGGTTAACCCGTATGCTGACTGGAGATGCTGCCTTGAGCATTTTTTTTAAAGTAAGATGAAGAACAGAGAAATGATTTTTTTCTTGTTCTCATTTTATCAGGTGGGATGTCTCTTATTTCAACAACTTCATAGCAATAGCTAACAAAAAAAAAGCTACAGCTGAAACTGTGTCAAATTTTATGCCTAATTTTGTTATTAAAGGACACTATGGAGGGAGAACATTGGCTGAAAACAATGCTTAATAGTAATAAGTCACAAAAGTTAAACTAAAGCATTACCTGCTTTGAAATATTTAGATTTTGGAGAGGACTCTGTTCAAGTTTTAAATTTTACCCAATCACTAATGTTTGGCTATGACACACATATAACACAATTTGATACTATGAAGCTTACTGGAAATTGCCTGCACTGTAAACAACCATCCTCCACTGCAAAGACAGAAGTGGCGGGCTGAACAAGATGGCTGTTGATGGTTTTTCAGTATTTGGAGGCGTGGCCAACACAGACGGAACAGCTTCGTTCACTTCCTATGCTGCCGTTGCTAAAACTACAGGGAGACTGTAGTCTCTAGCGCAAAAAAAAAAAAAAAAAAAAAAAAAAGACGTCATCAATCACAACTTGTTCTTCTGCCTGCTGATTGGCCCGGTTGAAATTCAGAGGAATCAAGGTCAGTTGGAGAAATCCTTCCTTCAGTGCTCAGACAGAGCACTGAAGGAAGATGGTTTGGAAGGCACATGCTATCAGATAGCAAGCTAAACTGCAAGTTATTTCAAAATGCTTTAATCATTTGGTGTGAAACACCCGAATCAGTCAAATTCAAGACCAAATAACAAAAACACGTCCAAAATTACAGACAGACAGAAGAAATGCACTTGAAGGCTCAGATGAATAAAATGAAGCTGGCTGTAACGTCCCCCACCTCTTCACTCTCAGGATGAAGAGCTGTGTTTTCCCCCCTGGTATCCTCTGGATATCTCCAAACCCTCCCTTTTCCGTTCCCACACATGAGGAGTAACGGCCGTGTTTAGCATGCCTGTGCCTGCTGCACCAGATGAAGAGAGAGTAAGGGAAACAGAAACCACGCGGTTTGCATGCCCAGTGAAGGGGAGATGATGTAAAGCCACGGCGGAAGTGTCCACATCTGCGCCAGTCAAGCTGCGTCTGTCCTTCACGACTCGCTGCTCAAGACCATCCTTTCAAACATCCATCCCCCCGCCTGCCTCTCCCCATCACATTCCCCTACTCTGAAGTATGGCCAATGACACCAAGCTGGACTAGCTGCCATCACTCAGCCTGGTGACAGCAGAGTCCCCCTGCTGTTAATGCTTGAGTCGCCGCCTACTGTGAAATATAAATGTGTCCGGATACGTATGAAGTATGCGCCATCGTGCGCATTTCATATGCGTACATGTTCAAGGTAAACAACAGGTTCTCCTTCTGAACACACAGGAAGGAAGGGAAGCCGACGTTCATCTCTTGCGGTTTTAGTTTTGTTTCATTTAGTTTTATTTGCAGTGCACTCACCTCCTCGACCAAATTTAGTCAAGTCGTTTGGTCCTCCGGAGCTGCTGTTGACGGGCAGGCTGGTCGCCGGCCAGGAGTCGGCTAACCAGGGGTAGCCCGGGTCACTGGCGTTCAGCAGGCCTGGACGGCTGGAGGAAAACAAAAGGTTGAAACACAACGTTCATAGTATGTTTTCATAAAATTTCTGGATTTGGAAAAAAATCAAATATAGGACATTACACAAAAGTTGAAGCATAAGTTGAATCGACAAAGTTTAAAGCGAGCAACGTCAGAGGCAAATTTCACTGTTAAAAAAAACAGGAAATATGTATTTTACAACAATGAGTTAACCTGCCAGCGAAGCAGTTTATAAATGATGTTCCTAAACTGGCTGAAATAAAACATCCAGAATATATGACGACGTGTCAGGGCCGTGGTAGATGAAAGACTGGGAGTAAATTTCCACCAAAACTCTGAAATTTTCTAGACAAAAAGGACATTTTTGAGTTTGAAATTTAAAAAAAAAAAAAAAACTGAAAAATCTTCAGTTTAATCACAGAATTGTCTTTTGGAAAAAAGTTATGACTTGTCAAATTTTCAGAGTTTGACAAGTCATAAATTTTCTAGAAAAAAAATGACATTTTGAGATTAAGCTCAGAAACCTTTGAGAAGAGACTTAAGATGAGATTAAACTCAAATTTTTTTGTAAATGTTTGACTTTTCAAACTTGTTTTTAATCTTGTCGCCATGTTTTTTCTAGAAAATGTGCATATTTGCGATTGAGCTTGCAAAGTTTATCATAGTGAATAACCGCAACACTAGAGTGTGATTAATCTGACTAAATTTATCCATAAATCGACATCACTCGTTTAATCGTTACTTTTTGCCAAATAATACATGTTTCTGTGAGATAAGCCGATGAACCAAAGGAAACCCTTCTAGGGAAACAGCACTATGCTACATTTCTGGTTTCAGAAAGTTGCATCCCTTCAGGCGAGCCGAGCCGTTTGCTTCCCTTTCTCTCCCGCTGTGCCTTTGTCACATTCATTCAGCTATTTATGCAAAAACACACAGTGGATACATACATTAATACCCACTTTTGCCTTTTACACACATGTGCAGGAGCAGATAATGGCAGTGATGTATATCATAAACCTATCCCACCCTGCTGTGTCTTCTCATTACTCCAGAGTGGACATGTCCACAGAGGTTGAAGGGGACTGATGGCCTGGTGGCATCACGGCGTTGTGGTGGGAACCAGAACGTAGGAGTGGACCGTTCCCTTTAACAGGCGCCGTGTCGGACTGTAAAGCAGTCCATCAAGACTTAAACCTCGTCACGGGTGACTGCTGGGAGGCCATTAGGGATGCTGTTCTGGACAATAACTTCTGAGGATTGTTACCGTCGACAACACAGGTCAAGGTGTACGAGAGGAGGCTCCTAAATGTCTTTGTCGATTATGTTCATTTGGACATGCTGAGTAAGTCGGTGAACTACTAATGTCTCTTTTAGAGGATGCAGGAGATCTGAGACTTGTAGAGAAGTTCACCTTCCAGCAGGACAAAGCTACAGTGGAACGTCATGGATCAAAACATATTAATGGGCTAAAATAGTAAAAAAAAAAAAAGGTCCAAAAAATATTTGAAATATAAACATCTTCCTTCTGTATTTGTATCTTTATCTGAAGCCCATTATGGAATGGGCGACCAGCGATGCTTTGCGACACAGTTAGCGTCAGAACTGGCAGCCTGATGGTGGGGCTCATTGTCTGAGCTCCAGCAGGGTGATGGGTTGGTTCCCAGAGACTGGGAGAGAGTCAAACCCCGAGGACAAGGCCAGGTAATGGGTGTGCTGCAGTCGATCTCCATCTCAGCTACCGGTTCTAATGAGAAAAGCTGTTCAGCAAAAGGGAGGAGTTCAAATGAACTACAGTCCTGGCGACGGGCTAAGAGCCCTCGCCGTGGCTCCTGAATGCCAAAGCAGGCCCTCGGGGGAGACAAGTCATTCAAATTGATGGTTGTGCATCAGACACATGCACTTTTATAGGGTAATACATCTCTCCCTGTACTTCCACCTCTGTTTCTGGCTGCCATGTTCCACCGCTGCCATCATTCTTTCTTACCATACCATATTTTCCTAACCCCATTTTCTTTTTATTGTTCCACTACACGTCTACACATCCCCATTCTGTCTTTTGTATATTTAAAAAAAAAGCTGAATATAAAGGCGTTCTTCGTTCTTCTAAGTAGCACTTGGAAAGGAAGGAGCAGACGGTGGAAACTGTCGTATTGTCCTTGCATTTGTCATGCAGCGGTTTTCGGCAAAGCATAATTACAATAAGACTGATCTCTACCGAGGGTATTTGTTAAAGGTGTGTGCGTGTGTGTGTGTGTGTGTGTGTGTGTGTGTGTGTGTGTGTGTGTGTGTGTGTGTGTAGGGGGGATTGGAAAGGTTTCGGGGACATCCGGCTGATGAAATGTTGACGTTTAACTTTGAATCCCCGTCCAACCTGAGGACGGATGGCAACCTTGGGAGATGAAATTCGACTTGGAGCAACAATCCTTCCTCCTTCCCAAGCATTTCAGTAACTTGCGACGAATTCATAAGTAACAATGAACCCGGCTGATGCCGAGCTCCCGATAAATACGCCGAGCAAGGCGTATTCATTCTGAACCGACTGTATAAATCTGTTGTTTATGGTTCGGCAGACCAGTTGATTAAACTTGAATTTAAAGTACAGATGTTATCTAAACACAATGGGAAACACAGATTACTTTGTGGATTAACCCTCCGAGAAGATGATCTCATTTAGGTTTCGGATCCTGGGATGAATAGGAATCTCTATGGCAACAGATTTATTAAAACCTGTTCCCTCAGCACGCTTCGTTCTGCCAAAAGGAGTGAATCTGCTCTGCTAAAACATTGATCAGTGTGGAGATAGGAAGTTATTACTAGCTCCTAATTACTATCTCCCTATTGGCAGGGGTGGGGGTTAAGGAACCCTTATCAGGGTTTTATCCATTTTAACTGAGCAGCCAAAGTCAAACTGTTCAGGTCTCTACAATCTGCAGCCTATTCATCTTCCATGAATCATTTATTTTGTGATCGATTAAGTATAATTGTTCAGTCAGGGCAATTTGGCTCGAGCCAGTGAGAAAATGGAAACAGATGTGGCTTCATTTGCCGTTGTCTAATTAATGCGATAAACATTACATGCAACAAATTATTATTCTTATTCTTATTATTATTATTATTGCCCAATACCACCAGCTTCACAGATTCACTTTCAGGACAGATGGCAGAGTTGACATCTGGGATGTGACGGCATCAGAGCGGCTAACAGAGGCGACCAAAGGCTCCACAGCATCAAGACGCATCACCCAGGCTGCCGATGGTTACTATCAGTTCATATGAAGATTGATCAAAGTATTTTTCTTCGGCAAAATATAATGCTTAAAAGAGAAAAGATGGCAGCAGGTTCAGTGCAGAGGATTACAGTAGAAGTTTTGAAACCAAATCAAAAGTTTTAGATTACAAAATGATCCTCTTTAATGCAATAAAGAACAGACGCATCTCAGGAAAAAAAAAAATAAAATAAAATAAAAGTAGGACTATTACATAATGTTACATAACAGCAGTAAAACAAACAAACAAACAAGAAAACATATTTAACAAAAGGTCATCGCTAAAGAAGCTGTTCACAAAAGTGTGTCCAAAAAATGTGTACCAGCAGCAGATACTATAATTTCTAGACTATTGAGGGCATATAAGGCACAACACTAACTTTGAAGAGAAAATAATATATATTCCACACTTGTTAAAAGGCAAAGGTATTCATGTTGTGCACTTTATTTTTTTATGTTTTATCACAATTATTTGACAGTTTTTTTTTTAGCTTATATTATTAACAAAATCTTGGGAAAAACATTAATAAAAATGGTCTTTTGTGTCATAACGTCCTGTGTGTACATCAGCGTGTTGTTGGGGGTGGGCTCATGCACATCCGAAATAAATAAATAAAAATGTAATGTGGTCGTTCACTTTTGTTTATTTGCTGGCTGGTTCTTTTCAGCTAAGTGGAGAACAAAGGGGGACGTTGTGAGAAAGATGTTTTTTAGGCATGTGGTTGTGTTCATTTATGACCCGGTGATGGTTTTTGTGTGTGTGCCTGACCTCACGCACTTTTCCTCAGTCTCTCCTTTGTTGTTCTTTTAGTGAAACTTTCTTCTCACTGTCCTCCTCATTATACAGCAGTCCAGCTGACGAAAAGCCACATATTACCCGCATCGCAGTGTTCAACATGTGTTGAAAAAATTAGCAGCTTATAGTCTGGAAATTACAGAAACTGTAGTCTTGAGACAATTGTGAAGCAGCGTTTAGTTAAGAAGATGTGCAGTGCAGCTGGAGCCGACGCTTCGAGAGCCAAGACACACAGACGTGTCCAGTCCCTGGGCTCCAACTGCTGCGTTACGTGTGTTAATGTACTTCACAACAAGACAGAAGGTTCAAAGTCCTCCTTAAAGATAAAAGTATATTTTGGCTTTTATCTGAAAATCAAGGTGGGAGAGGCGGTTTGAGGTTCAGGGTGTGGTTTCTACAGCCTGTGGTGATCTGAGGGGCCGTGTCACCTGCTGGTGTTGGAGCTCTGCATCTCATCGAGTCCAAAGATGTCAAACAGAAAATTTTACAGCACTGTATTCTTTTTTCTCTGCTTGGAATGCTATGGGGATGCTGATGTACTTTTCCAGGAGGAGGTGGAACCTGCTTACAATGCCAAAAATACCACCGCCTGCTTTAATTATCACTGAAGCTCAGAGGAGCCAGAACTGTTAGTGCTGATGCCCCAAAATGATGGAAACGGCAAATCATTAATTCTGTTTTATATCAGAACGGCCCTTTACTGCAAACTTTTCTTAAAACCCTGGGTTTTCAACACACTGAGACTTTTGCTTGTACAGGTGTTTTGTTTTCATCATTATCTTTGTTTTCTCCCTTGTCCTTTCCAACTTGTAAATGTTCTTTCATTTTATTTTACAGCTCCTTGTGACAGATGATGTTGTTGTATGGTGATTTATTAATAAAGCAGTAATAGTATGGCACTGTTTGCAACATCATACCCAACCTGGGCTACCTTAAAACCTTAGCAGTGCCACTATTCAAGGCAAAGCAGCCATGACAACATGTCTTCATCGTTTTCATATTTAAAAAAAAAAAAAAACACTATCATAGGTCTTATAACTGAAATTGTCATTTACAGATGGAACATGGCGAGATGTTTTAGGATTTAATAAAAAGGGGGAGAAGTTGATTTTGCGGCGTTTGGCCCGCTGATCACTGATCACAGCCAATCAACGGAAAATTGTGCAACTCGGTATTCCTGGCCGATTGATTGGTGCATCTCGAGAAAATTGTGGCGCTCAGAGCTGCTGACAAAAGATTTCTAAAGCATCCCTTCCACCCCCCAAAAAAGTATTACAGACGCGGAGTGAGAATTGGAACCGCTTATGTGGAAAATTGAAAGAAAAACATAACAGCAGAAAGTAGATGAGAAGCGGCATGACAAGCAAGTGGTGTGGCTAATTCATTAAGGGATTGCTGGCAGCTTGCAGAATGATTGGGTGAAAATCGCCCTTTTACTGCATTGATGCAGCAGATATAAAAAAAAATTAAACGAAAAAAAAAATCGCTGATGCCAGATTATGGGATGAGCACCCTCTGAGAAGAAGAAAGACAAGCGGGGTCACGTTTAGTCACGATCTTTCAGTGAGCATTGGAGATGTGCTGGTTTGTCTGGGGCCAGATGTGATAAGCAGAAACCTGGGATCCTCCAGGGAGTCCCATGAATCCCCACAGAGGACGACCGGTGCCACCGAGACGCGCCCTGCTCACTGCAGTTCGTCCCATTCCACTAACACGCACTGAGACGGAGCAGGGCAGCATGGAGATGTCCACACACACCCACATCCACACACACACCTCTCCCCTGGGTAATTATTTTTACATTATTACATGTGCTCAGATCCCAGTCGCCCACGCAAGGTGACAGGGAAATTTATCACTCAAGAGGGCTTTGGGGTTACCCGTAGCCAGCAGGCGGAAGATAAATGACAAAATAAAAGCCTCTCTCTGCTTAAATTGTTTCTGTTAATTCTGCTGAGGAGATTTATGAGTATATCTATCGATGCATAAATGGAGATGTGGTAGGGATGTATATTTGGGTGTGTGTGTGGGGGGGGGAGGGGGGGGGGAGAGAGGCAGGCCTGTGCGGTAGGCATTAGAATGGGTATTGGTAATCTTTGGAAGCCATCAGTCATTTATCAGCGTTAGAATAGAATCGGGAGCGGTTGCCGTGGAGTTCATGCGTGACTCCGGAGGAAAGGTTGTGTGAGCCAGAGGATTCCAGAACAGAGGCTTTTATTTTGGTGGCAGTACTCACCTTCCATTGCTCATCAGACCGCCGTCGACTCTCTGGAACGTCACTGAAGGCAGGAGAAAGGAAAGAAAGAGGACAAAGAGAAAAAAGCATTATGTTTATGGACGATACAAAGATGGCTTTAAACTTTGCAAGTAATCTATCAAAAATATTGAAGGAAATGCGTCATTTTGGTTTGTCACAAAGAACCTAAGAAGACATTCCAGTTTATATTCATAACACTAAGACGTATGAAAAAGTTCAGAGGAATTTTGCACAACTACAAATAAGACGATGCCCTTTATCTCACTACTCTGGTCCAGTTTGTCCTTGTGCTTCAGCAGCAAAGTGCTCATCCTTTCTGTTTTGTATTGTTAATGGATTCACCAGGGGTTTCGGTTGTCCCTCTGTGGGTGATGTCTTTGCTTCTTTTTTCTTTTCAGCCTGCATATCGCTTCGATTTACATAAATCAAGATGTCATGTGCTCTTCAAGGACAAGGTGCCAGATGAGAAGCAAAACTCATTTCATCGCTTTGATTTTGCTGCCGAGTCACTATCAGATTTGTGATTAAACTCCAACAAAAAAAAATGATTAGAAAAGGTAGAGGGCTCATTAATCACTTTGAGGTTTTTTTTTTATTATTATTTTTTTTTTATCTGAGACACCGGTCATGTGGCTAGCAGGAATCCCCAGAAGCCATGTATGGGGTCTGATCCAGGAACAAAATGCAAAGATGAAAGGAAGAACTCCCCCTCTGGCTTGTAAACTCTTAAATTGAGGCATCCTCATGATGACAAAGCAGCAGGGAAAGTTCTAAGCTTTTAAGAACTTCAATGGATTGAAGCGAAAACCGTCGGGTTTATGGAATTCACCACATTCCATGAGTAAAAAGGAAAGATATCAGAGAACTGCTTCACTAAAGAGAGAGAGAGAAAGAGAGAGGAAGGAAGGATGTTAGTAATTTGGCTCATTTGCTCCACAGATGGAGATTAAAGAGAGGAACGCTTGACATTCTTCCTCTTTTTTTTTCTTTTTTAAATTTTTCCAGTTTCATTCAAGTTGACTCCAGAACAAGCTCGGGCAAACAATGTGTTTTTTCAGACAAGAGCCAGGAGGAACTCCCAAAACAGATGAGAACTCTGCAGACGAGAGTCGCTAAAACAGTGAATTCCTATCAGAACTCCTCCATCCTTCTCAGTACCTTGCAGAAGTAGTCAATGGGCTTTTGGAGATTTCATGTGAACAATTGAAACAAATTAGAGCTACATTGTTTTACAAATTAAAATTTGAAAGTGTGAGGGATGTGGGGTATTTTGAGATGTAAAAGAATTGAGACAATGATTCTAAAAATACAAATGCAGCTCTATTGTTATGTTAGCATGGCCACAGATGATGGTAGACAAAGAGGTTTTTTTTGTGATGACATGTTGTTTCTTGTTTCAAGGTGATTGACAGTACTGAGACCCTCCTCCTTCCTCTGATTGGTTGTTTCTAACTGAGCTGTGTATTTCTGCAGATGGCAATAGGACCACAAAGTGGCAACAGAGGAGCTTGATATTTTCAGACAACCTGTCTCATATTTTACTGTCACAACATAGTAACTGTTTTAACAAATATGTAACTTTTTGTGTATATATATATATATATATTATATATAATATATATATATATATATATATATATATATATATATATATATATATATATATATATATATATATATATATACACGAAAGCTACATTTTGCAGCTTTGGTTTGGGCGCTCTGAACATTAATGGTATCAAAGATTTTGCTTCATCCTTTGAAGCTTGTGGATGGGATGTGACCAAATGGTGTGAATACTTTCAACAAGGTACTGCTTTCTGCATTTTATTGTTTACCTCCAGCAGCTCTGTGTGGATAGAAACAGGCAGACATCTTGATTCAACCAGAGCCAAAGCCTGGAGCTTTTGTTCCCCCACCGGCAGAGGTTGTGTTTAAGGAAACTTCGTTGTCTGGGTGAGGATTGACAGGAGCTGGCGGAGGAAGCTTCTGAAGTCTCTATCTGAGGGCTGGCACATTTGGGCTGCTGAGGAGCATTTTAATGTTAGCCAGACTGACACGGTGAGTCCAGGCTGCGCTAGATAAGCACTTTCTCCAATATGAATGCAGATTAATCCCCTTTAATAAGCATCAGCGTTGGGGAGGGGGCTGACGAAGTGTAATCAGCATATAACATTTCCATCAAATCTAATTCCTGCTGGCTGTGTGCCATACCAGTGTTGTGATTTACCTCTCGTGTACCGACAGCTTTACTGCGCTGAGACAGGACACTCGATACATCAGCTAATTGTCAATAGAAAGAGAGCAGCAGTGTGAAACCCCTCGATCACATTCTGATGCACGCTCCAAATATCACCCTGCAGTCTCAGCTTTTGATCTCTGCTGAACTGAACGGTAAATTGTGCTTGCCAGTAAAAGCTTTTTTTTTTCTTTTTTTTTTTTAAATAACCTGCCTCCTCTTTGGCGTATAAGAAAGACTGAAAGATTATTCATCTTTCATAATGTGCTGATGTAATGCTTTAGATTAAGTAGAGGTCACATTCATATTCATGCAGGCTTAGACAAAATTGTTTCTATTTATGGTTGAGGCGTGAAAGAGAGGCGTCCTAAAGTAATCCCCATTTCTGTCATTTGCAGCCACAAATGTCAACAGGATTTTATGTAATGACCTGCACAACATTGTGTAACCCTAACCCCTGCAAAGTGGAAGCAACAGTTCTCTAACTGTTTTATAAATCTAAAGTGTGGCATTCATCACTTCTATCTGATGTCCCTAAAACATTCAAAAATTACTTAGGAGGGGCGATAATATGTATGTTCCAGGCACATAGTGACATTTTATAGCACAATCATAGTAACTATGATTCACTATAAAAATGTCACTATAAAAATGCTATATATATCAAAAATAACTTAAATATAATTTGACTTCTCAATTTGACAATTGGTCCTTTGTCTCTTTAAGAAGCTCCTGCTCTTTCTGACACTTTGCCTTTTCAGCAAGTTCTGACAGCAATGTTTCTCATTATGATGTTAACTTTTCTTGGGACTGTTGGATTGAGAAATAATTCATATGATGAAATCAGCAAAGTTCCAGTTCCACCAGGTGTTTGCTAATTACTGCTGCCACTAGACTGGAGGAGCTGAGGGGGGAAAGCGTGGCACAGGAGTGGTCTGCAAAGCTTCAAATGACAAAGTATTGATATACACATTTCCATAACTTCAAAAACAAGTTTTAATGGTATTAGGAACATTTTTACTTTTATTTTCTTTTTCCATTTTCTTTATTACTTCTATTGGCTGGGGTTTTGTGTTTTTAAACATCAAAGTTGTTCAAGATGTCAGTTCAACATTTGGATGATTCTTATCTATAACAAAGTGAAGTTGTTTATATATTCCTGTGTTTGTTTCGTCGCCAGTATTGTTTTTTTTCTTCATTTCTGACTTGTTTATAAAAAAGTAAAAAAAAGAGATAGAAAAATAAATAAACTTAACATAGTTACTTGATTGCGCTATAAAATGGCACTATGTGTCTGTAAAATACACAACACCGTTCCTTTAAGATTAGATTTTAGCCAAGGAATCTGAGAAGGTCCAGCTAAAAGCTGTGTGTAAAAGATGTTACAGCAAACAGAAAAATTGTCTGAATGAAACTAGAGGAATGTGGGTAGGTAAAGCACAGCATGATTTGATCACTGGAAATAAAACTAAAAGGAACACTTCAGCAGAAGGAGGAAGATGGATAGAATGAAACCGAGCTCGGAAACCAGAACCAGATCACTAAGACAGACAAAAAAAAAAACAAAAACAAAAACAAAAACAAAAAAACGGCATTAGGCTTGGCAGGGAAAACAGTTTCAATATATAGGGTTAAAAATCATGGCTAATAGCAAGAACTGACTTGTAAATGTTGTTTGGCAGGTTAAAATGTTTCCACATTTGACATTTTTTTAAAAAATTTTTTATTATTAGCCATGATCAAGAGTGTTGTAGTCCGAGCATGGGAAGTAAAAGCGGATGGGAGGATGACTGCGCTCGGGATGGGGTTAGAGTGAGGGGGAGGGCGAGGTGATGGGACAAATGAACAGTACCTGCAGGGGTGAAGGTGAAGGACTGAACTGCAAAACAAGAAGACAGAAAAAGTTGTGTGTTAAAAAGCCTGCAGAGCAAAGCAGTGCTTTGAGAGGGGGGGTGTGTTGATGTGTGTGTATGTGTGTGTCGGGGGGAGTGGAGCTGAGATGCACCGCTGCAGCCAGAGAAGCAGCCGGCTCAGGGGCCACTGAGCAGGTCCCACAAATCAAACAGAAAACAAAACACAAAATGTAGCACATGAAGATGAAACAGCAAACATCACTGCTGTGGTTCACATTTTGTCCTGGAAAAATGAGCAAATATATTCCCGTAAATGTGCTTTTCTTGAATATCTGACTACTAATAAGGAGAAAAAAATCCCCAAAGAGAGTTCATTTCCATTTCTACCTCTGCAATGAAAGCCGCTGCACTTGGCAGAGGAAGTGGACTGACTTGGGGATATTGACCATGAACATGTAAGGGTCAGTGTGTGGGCGTAGAGCCGGACTATAACTGCAGCTCCAACCCTCCAACCGCTCCGTTCTGGCACCTAGACTACACCACCCTGGGCTAATAACTCTGTGGGTGGAATTGTCAAAAAAAACAGCAGCCTGCCGGAAACGATCCGAGCTAACATCTGTCTCCCCGCGGAGCCGGAACAGAGCATCCATCTTGATGATATCACTAGCAGCAGCTATGGTATTGACGGATAATGATCTAATGATAAAACATTCTCGCTCTGAAGGCAGAGGAAGAAAAAAGAAACAATAAAAAAATGAGTACAGGGAGACAGAGAGAGGGAAGTGGAGGACTTTTTTTCATCGTTTTTGCTCAGGCACCTTAGCAGCCAGCCGTTGCTAACCTGCATAGTTGCTCAGGCCCTTTCTCTTCTTTCTCCTCCAGTAGAGCCAGATGCTGAAGCCCATGAGGATGACCCAGCAGGCGCCTCCGATGCCGGCGATGAAGGCCGGCTGCTTCACCACATCCGTTATCTGCTCCGTGATGCTGTTGTTCCGGTTTCCGTGTATGATCACGTCCCGGAACTCTTTCCCTGAGGGCACGCAGACAAAGCAGAGAAGATTAATACACAGCAGTGCCAAGATGTGAAGGGAAGCAGGAAGCATTTCCCGTCAACCTTAGCAAATGTACTGTATCGACGACTCAAGCTCAAAAGCAACAACTACTTTTGCAACACGTTTCATATCGAATTATAGTTCATGTGCTTCATCTAAGGTTTTGTGAAGTTTTAGAGGAGGATACTGACCGTCAAAGCTGGATAAAGAGCAAAACAGGATGTGAGGTGAAACACAATGATCAGACTGGAAAAGATAAAGTCTAGCAGCTCACAGCAAAGCCCCAGGTGATCAGGCTGTTTGCTTTGTTCAGCCTCTAATTCACTCCACCGCCACTGCAACACACCGCATGAAATGAGAGCAGAGCGCCATGGTCTCTATTGATCCCCAATTCCACGTCAGCTCCCACTAGCCGGCTTGACAAATATTTCTAGCAGCGAGGTACAACCGGAATCACAAAGCACCTCACTGTAACACCGCTAACTTCTTATGGTCACAAACACGCGGATTATTCACAAACGCTGCATTGCGCCCAAAAGACGCTGAACCGCAGTATTCCGTCAAAGCCGTCTAAGCGCAGGCATCTCTGAAGACAAGCAAACCAAAAATATATATATATATATTATGAGTGCAAGCTCAGTGTTCTGTTCTCAGAGATGGATTATGTGAGTGACACTGGGGAAATAAGAACACGCCGCAGGCCAAGTCATCAGTTATGGGTCAAATCAGAGAAAATCTGCCAGAGCTCCACATAAATCACAGTCAGAGCGCATTTCCAAACAGCACCGTTTCAACAATATCATCTGTTTGGTTGCTTTCCCCCCCCGCTCCCTCCAGCATCACTTTCTCTCAAAAACTGGACGCCGAAAGGCCGCCATGGATTTCTATCAATTTATCTCACCGATGATTATAGACTGAGGTTCGCTCTTCACTCCCACTCCTGCACTGGTGCTGGCGGCGACCTCCACGTGATACACCACGCCCACCTGCAGCCCGCCCACCACCACGGAGCGGATGGCTGCGTCCACAGTCTTGTTCACGTGGAAACGCGTCTCGTTCCCCAGACACCAGATCTGAGAGGGCAAAAAAAAAGTTGATTTTAATTTAGTCATGTAGGGGTGCGGTGGGAATGGATGACGGTCGCTTCCTGAAACGGACCTTGTACTCCTGGATGATGCCGTTCTGGTGGTCGGGTGGAGGGGGGTCCCAGGAGATGCTGATGGAGGTGCTGTTCTGGTTTCCCACCGTCAGGACGGTTACCTGCTGAGGGGGGGCACTGGGAGCTGAAAGAGAAGGAGGAGCGACGGTCAGACGCAGCACATAAATGGTTTCTCAATAGAAATGGGGAATACAGAGACTCGCTACTGTTTGCAGAGATCAAACACACAAGCTTTCATCTACTAACTGTAACTTTTGCAACTTCTACGGTCTTCATTCATTGGCCGTCATGTTAACTATCCTGAGCATTCACATCAGAAAAGAGCTGCAGTGGAGAGGAGAACCAGGGCTAAGCCCCTCCTCCTGGCTCTGATTGGTTGTTTCTAACAGAGCGATTAATTTCTGCAGATAGCAGTAGAACCACAGGCAGAGGACCTCATTTTTTTCAGACTGTTTGTCTCATATTATATAAAAGTTAACTATTGCCATCTTATGCAATAAACCCTAAGGCGTATTACATCAAAAGACCTGTCTTCTGTGTTCTTTGGTCTACGTAGTTTTCTTTTTTGGTTCGCTCACTCATGTTCTCTAACCAATCTACATAAATATCCTCTAATTAAGTGACTCCCAAAGTCAAATATTTGCCATCCATTCATCTCCCGTTTCATCTGGGACCGGTTTGCAGAGCAGCAGCCGACCCAGATTTCCCCAGCCAGTTGGGCCAATTTACAAAAACATTAAATACATTATATTTTGTGTTTTTAGTACTTTTGATAGGTATTCTATTCTTCCATAAGAGTGTCTGAAATTGAGCCATAAGAGAAAAGGGAAAAAAACAATGACACCACCAGCGTACATGCCTTTGAAAAAGAATAGCATTTTGTAGGGAAGGCACAGTTGACTGCAGGTTTGTAAGGATAAGATCAGGTCAGATCTGACATGTCTGTCGGCTGTCTTTAACATTTCACTGTGATTTCATATATCAGCCTGTGCTCTGCTCTGGTGGATTTGCACAGAGGATACTGGTATTGATTCGTGCGATGATGGCCTGGCAGAGTCAGGCAAGACTTCTCAGTCACGCTAAGACTCTGTCGTTGACCGGTTTGATCACAAGGGTCAATGGGCTTATTGGGATGAAGAACAGACACCAAAGAAATATGAAAAAGCAAAAAAAAAAAAGGCATTTAATAGGTGGGAAACAATGTCTCAGTAAACACATCGACAGACTCTCATTGATCGGGCGGATGAAACTAAAGCCAGTAGGTAGGGATGGAGGGAGGTACCCGGGAATGCATCGGCTCCGTCCGCAGGCAGACAGGTGGAGAGGATGGAAACAAGAACAGCCCGGGCTTTCATGAACCTCCATTGTTATTCTGACGGCAACAATCTTCTGACCCCACAAGGCATGAGACGGAAAAAAATAAATAACAGTTGGCCCAACTGGAAATAACGCTTTAAAAATAATGTTTTCTCATTTCCGCAGTGGCTGGCAGGTTGGAGGTGTGGGGGGGTCGGCACGGCAGAATACTGACAGGTCAATTACTCCTGGTGCTGCCTCTCCCTCACCTCACCTCCATCCAAAATGGCACGTGTCACCCCGTAAATCTGTGCTCATCCCTCAGCGCAATTGGCCACACGGGCCCCGGGAGAGCCAGGAGGCCCTGGCACGGTGGAAGATGAATGGTTCCAATGATGAACTCAACACCTTGGCCAGATTAGAAACAATCTACCGAGCGAGCATCTGATCGAGCGAATGCGCCCGGCGCCGTGCGCGGCACTGCGTTGCGTTCAGGTGATGAAGTGCCCGGCTTGTCCGCGGAAGCCATCAGAGGCAATGTCATTCAAAGTTAATGTTATGAATGATTTAGCAGCTGATTATCATGCATATTTGTGCTAAACAATACACATTTTTCATTAGAGGCCTTGGAGGCTGTGCTAATAGGGCCATTAGCGGAGTGATGTATGGCAGGCAGGAATGTGACCCCCCTGTCTCGCATGTGCTCACCATGCTGTGTTGAATGATAGGAGGAAGACAAACAGAGCCGATCATTACTAAAAAGTAGCCAGTGGTTAATGACAAGGCGTGGGATCTCCCTAGAGAGCAATGTGGAAAATTAGCCAACAAATGAACATTTAGGTGACGACAAATCATTTTCCTTTCTTCCTGAATAAGCGCTGTTGTTGTCTAAAGTATACTCCACCTCAGGTAGACTTTCAGATGTAAAAAGACGGGAGCCAGAATCAATTTATCAGCCTCAGTCACAAAGACATTTGTTGAACATTTCACATTTTTTCACACTACAACTGCAAATCTAAAATGATTTAACTGGGATTATGTTGCCTCAACTTCTATGGTCTTCAGGTATTTTTTATGGAAAAAGTGTGATGTGCATTTTTATTTAGTTTCTTTTACCTTAATAAACGTTAATAAATTCAAAGGTCAAGTAGAGCCCATTTCTTTGGAATTCCACTTTTACTGCCTTTACATCTTTAAGTCTTTTAAGCAATGTCTCAAGTTTGTTGCCCATTCTTCTTTCCATTACATCTTTAACTCACTCAGTGCAGTTTTGATCTTTATAACATGTCATAATGTTATTCCGTCATTGCTGGATACTTTGATTCTTTCTTGCATTTTTGAGGAATCTTTGAATCTTCCATTCAGAGGGGGGCTTATCACTTTCTCTCACAAAATTCTAGCTATTTCCACAAAGCTCCTCCCTGTAGCCTACCTCTCTCCTACACCTATTTCCATCAGCTCCTCTAGACTAGCGTCAGCAGCTTTTAAACACCTGGTGAACTGTGACTCTGCTGAGCTCATCTCACGAACTCCTTCTCCGTCCAATGTGCCTGAGGATGGTTATAAACAGCATCAGGAAAAGTTGTAATGATATTCTGAAAGCAGAGCTTCTTAAAGAAACAGAGGCCCAATTTTAAGGCATGAAAATGCAAAGCCAAATTTCTTCTGAGTCATGAAGGTGCTGAAGTTAACTTAGTAACTTGATTGAGCTATGAAATATGATTGGGAAATACATCATACTGGCCCTTTAAATAAAGCTGGTTAAGATGACATTTTATAACTTCTTTGACGTGTTCTGGTTAACTAATGTTCTCCAAACCACTAAGGCCTTCAAAGAAAAGGCGTTTTACGCACGTATCTGAAGCAACCACTGACACAAAATCTGCATAAAACACAGAGGTCTGTGGTACAAATGTATAAGAACTTTAAATGCTCTCAATAGTTTTTTTAGACAATGTAAATATTTCTATGGAGAATGAGCTACAATGGTAAAGGTGAATAGTTTCAGTTGCTCTAACCTTCTCAAGGAATTTTCTAATTGTGTTAGTTAATGGACACCCTACGTTTTAATCACCTCTTGAACTCATTTTTTTTCTGGCCCCCATTAGTCATCCAAGGCGGCCTGAATAGCCCAGAGCAAAGTGTCTGACAGTGTGTTAGTTATGAAAAGAAACAGAAGCAGCATCGTGACAGAAATGGAAAACGGCTGGAATTCTGGAAGACCAGAATATGAACAGAGGACACGGGTGGAGGATACCATCAACACAGGTAATAGCTGGGACATGTGACCTCTGAGGTCTATGGGAGATAGTTGTGCTGGCGTGTGGGCGTGTGTGTGCGTGTGTGTGTGTGTGTGTGTGCGTGTGTGTGTTGGGGACAGCTGGGCTGTGGTGGCAGTTCCACTCCTGTGGCCAGTCAGTGTGAGCAGAGCATACACACGCTGGCCACAGGAGATACAGTCCCCTTGAGAAAAGGGAAATAAATGAGCCTGTCAACACAACAGGATGTGAACTGTCGCCCAACACATGCAGGCCTGTATATGCTGGGTTAAGATAGGCTTCACCTCCACATTGAAATGCTTGTATCTTTCTTTTTGTGGTTTTGAGAGGATGTGTTATATAAGCCTTCGCTATACAAGCTAAGTCAAGTCATTAAACCCAAAGGCTGCTGTGGTATTATTGCACATAGTTTTCCTCCCTGCAAAGGTCAAAATAGTAAATTCATCCAAACAAAGGCCCTCGCTGCGTCTTCGTGAGTGATTTTTACCACACCGCGCTACGGCCTTGTCAGAGTCTCTATAAATTAAGTTCTGGGTGACAGCTCATCTTTGTAGAAGGAGGTGTGTGAAGTTTCCGATCACAGTGTAGGTGCGTGGATACTTGGCGATGGATTATGGGAAGTTTGGCAGCAGCACTGCCAATCGTGAGTCAACGATATAAAAAAGATAAAGCAACTAAAGGCCGTGTGTGGTCGGGGTGAAGATGAACAGTTCAATGTTGACAAGACAACACAAGCTGTACAAAGCCCTTTTACGTCGCAATAAAGGTGGAGGGACGAATATGAGGCCCAAATTAGAGGTTAATAGTTATATTTCCAGAATGGAAATAAAAAAAAGCTTGCTAGGTCCTGTATATTTTTATGAAAATCTTTAAAGATAATTGAAATGATTATTTTAAAAAAACAAAAACAGGAGAACACACACAACTAGCCAAGAGGCTAAACTTCACAAACTCAATTCATTGGAGTCTCACCCTCCTCGGTGGTCCGTGCCGTCTTCGATTCGCTGTCCATGCCTTGAAACTCGTTGAAGTACGGCCGGACCTTGATCTCGTAAACGATGCCCTTCTTCAGTGACGAAAGGACGACGCTGCGCTCCGAGGGCACCTTCACGTCCTGGGTCTGCCACGCCCCCGGCGAAGGAAGCCCGGACGTCTGCCTGTACAAAACCCGGTAACCCTGGATGAACTGGGACTGGCGGTCCACCTGGGAAAGCAATAAAGCCAAGGTTATGGTTGGGAAGAAAGCATGTGGAGGCGACTAAGTGGTGTTTTCCTGCAGCCTGCTTTACAAGGCTGCATGCATGCCACTTTAGGAGCTGTTACTTATTTAATGGGGCTTTTATCACCAGCCATGCAACACTCTGCTCAATTATACCCACCCTGACATTAGCTCACGCTAACAGCACCACCTTAAAGGACACGACGTGTCTCCCGTACGTACAATAAATAAAACCCGGTGACACCTTAAACGTCTCGCAACTATAAGAACGCCATGCAGCTACAAATGCATGTCCCCATGGGAACGCACAACAGAGGTGTCTTCAGCAGACATTTTCCCCTTAAGAAAACTAAAAAAACCTAAGAGGAGGTCTCTGTGGTGAAAAAAATAAATAAATAAAGAGGGCTTCCCTTTAAAACTTGGGCCACTTAGTTAAACTGAAGAAAAAAAAGCTGAATTTATGCAGAGGAGGAGCCAGAGCATAACTCACTGTAATGGCTTGTTAACAGTAGAGGAAGTGAGCGCAGCTTTCAAGTGGGATATTAAGCAGCTGTTTTTCACCAGCACAGACTGAGTAAATCAGCACAATGGATCTCCACCCCTCCACCCCCACCTACAATGGTGTTGTTGTTGGACTCTTATTAATGGGATGATTTGGAAATACAAAAAGCGGCTTCCTCTGCTTACTGAAAAAAAAAAAAAGACTCCTGATTTATTTAGGCCGCCCCGTTTTGGTGTTAGCCTCACGTTACAATCATAAAGTGAAATGGTTTAGCATTAAATTAGCAGCTAGTTCTGGAGGAGGGAAGTGGGAAGGGGGGGAGACGTGAGACTTACTGCAGGGGTCAATAAACATGTCAGCGGGAAAACTGCTCATGTTGTTCGTTTAAAAATGCTAACTGCCACCCCATCTGCTAAGTGATGTGAGGTAAATAACTGCAACTGAGTGATTTACATGCTCAACATAAACAAATGAACACCTCAGACTCTAAGAATCCAAGCAGCATTTCAATTAAAACAGAAAAACCGCTCGCATCCAGGAAGGAGATGCTTCTTTTTTCTTTTTCATTCCCCTCAAACCCACATAACACAGACAGACCTTCCATATAGGAAGATAAATGCATTACCTCTGCAGCAAAACCAGATTTAGCAACCATTAGCGATATTTTAATCTATCAGTGCAGACTTTGTCTTAGGGAGGGAAGATGGAGGACTGATGAACATCCAGGTGTCTCTGACATTTCCTTTGATGCTCTGTGTGGTTAAAGAAACCATTTCTGCAGTCATTTGATGTTCTGATACTTTAAAGTCACCAATTACAATATTTCAAAAGCTGTATTCGGAGTGAACGGGCTGACAAAGAAAAAAAAATCCCCTCGACATAAAACAAACGGTCGCCTGCAGGAGAAGCTTCAAAGATGGATCTTTAATGTCAACAATCTCGGCTTTATGACGGGCGTCTGCAGAACCAAAGAAGGAGAAACAATAAAAGGCAGATAAGGAAGCCGTCGGCACACATTTTAACGTAGCGAGGAAAGCTTCAGAATGAATCCGACTTTAACTCCAGAACCACAATATCTGACTGAAAAAATGAGAAAACCAACATTTCATCTCAGCACATTAAGTAAACAGCAGAGAAAGGTTGTCCCTTTAAAGAAAAACTGAACCAATTCCTGAAATTTAGACTTTTGAGTTGCTCAATCTGATCAAGTATCAATACAATGTCACACAGACCAGTTTCTCTCAGTGACACTCCAAAAGAGGGAAGACAAGAGCACATGTAAAATGGATAAAATACATGTGAATGAGATTTCTTTTCATTTATACTTTTGTTTGCTTGTACTTTTTTTATCATTTCTACTTCTTAACTGATGCCTGATTTCTTTCAATATAAATATAATTTTTAACAAGACCATCATTATCATTTTATATATGGTATATCGCTTGATAAACTCCAGCCAGCCAGGTTTCTGTAACAATTTCTGCAGTTTCGACTTGAAACAAACTTATATGAAAATCTATTGTTAAGTACGGTGGAGGTTCTGTGATGTTGTGGGCCTCTTTCTCTTCCAAATGGCTTGGGAATCTTTCACCTCCAATAGCAAAAGTGTTTCCTTGTCTTGACTTTCACTTACTTTAGCAGAGGTTGAGCTAACTCCTACCACTGCAGCAGCAGAATTATTAAAATACATTTTCTAAATGGAAATACAGAAATAAAAAAATAAAAAAATATATAAAAATAACTTGGGTCAACACTGTTTAACTCTATCATAACTTCATACTCAAAAGAACTCTGAGTGTTCTTAAATATTAATAAATAAACCTTGATAAATAAACCAACCCATTCTATAAGCCTGATGAGGCTCCACTGGGTTTGTGTTTTTATTTGTGCCGCGCAGTATGAATAGCTTAAAACCTGAAAATGTAAGAATGTAATAATTCAATTCCCAAAAGAGGTTGCTGGAAACGGATACTGACCAATTAAAATCTGACACAGCAAAAGTTAACTGAAAACAAACAAAAAAACTAGTTTCAATGTTTCAAATATACTTAAAAATTTTGAGTTTTACAATTGTTCAAAGTCAGAAAATATTGACGTAAATAACAGGTGGATTTTTTTGAGGCCTTTCAAAGTAATCTCATTATTTTTTCACATATGGCATCCCTAATATTTTAACATTTAAAGATGCTGCAGGTCAGAAAAGCAAAACAGAAATCACATTTAGTCATCAGTCACTTACTGTCCATGTGACCTGAACGGTGGTGGGACTCAAGACAACGGGATTATGCAGGCGAACTATGACCTCTCCGAGCTCTTTCTGCACATGCCTGTGGTCCACTCCCTGGGCGGGAGGGCTTATATCTAGAAAAAAAGAAGAAATGTGAAAAATAAAAAAAAACGTAAAAAATAAGAGAAGAAAAGGGAGAAAAATGAAGCTGCTTTCTATCACTACGGAGAAAAAAAATACGTGTTTGAAATGTTTATCTGGGACTTTTCTGCACGTTCTCTGGTCTGACTGAGCGACCACAGTGGTGAATGAACTCAGAATTTGTGATCCTCGAACGCATTAGATGGAAGATTAATGGACACTATGACACACTTTTCCAGCTCGTTTCCTTCCCCACATGTGTTTTATGTTAAAAGAAATAAAAACTTTATTATATGCGATCATGAGAATGGTTGAAAAAAAAAAAAAGCGCCCCACTGTTTGAGTTATTTACCGACACACAGAGGAAAACTCTCACAGGAGGAAATAGTATTTTAAAATGAAAAAAAAAAACAACAACAGTGCTACACAGTCCTGAACCTCCAGCCACCCAGCAAAAAGAAGAGTTCAGAGAAGACAAGGCGAAGACAAGGCGTCATGTATCACCTCAAAAATATCAAGCGATTTGCTGAAAATCAGATTTCCTTTTTTTTTTTTGCCTTTATTTGACAGAGTGTGGATAAAGACTGTTTTTATTATCTTTTCCAGTTTTTATTTTTTTCTTCTAAATGGAAACTTTTTTTCTACACACCGAAGACTGCAGTCTGCTCAGGACGTAATCAAATCCTCTCTGGCTTTGGAGATGGTCATTTTCCACCGTTATAAAGATTATCAAAGCGTGGAGGGAGATAATGCTGTTAGCCCTTCCAAAAGTAGACATGCTTATTTTACATAATTGCTTAAGTGTAGCCTTAATGAGCTGAGCTCAGCTGAAGAATTTGACCTCTGGAACATTCTGCAATGCTTCGGCGCTGCTATCTAAAGTTGCTGAGAGAGGATGGCGAGGATTGCTCTTTAAAAGAGAAAGGAGCCGCAGCGAGTAATAAAATAGAAGTTATGCTCATAAAAATAACAGAAAAACATAAAAAGTGACTAGTATTCAATCAATAAACATTGATTATTTTATGCTAAAGTGGAATACCTTGTGTTCTAACAGGTTCAGACATTGGGCTCGGATCACTTAAGCCTTGGCCGTTGACGGCTCTGACCATGAAGAGGTAGATGGTGTTGGGACGGAGACCTTTGACGGTGAACTGGGTGGTCTTGACGTGGTCCGCCACGGTTTGCCAGCTGTTGCTCACAGACTGACTGCAAGAGAAGAGAAAAGATGAGGTCACACACATGGTTTTTCACTCCAGTTTCCTTGTGATACTCTACATCTGTAAATGCAACAGTAAACCTAAGAAAGACTGAAACTCCCCACATGCTCCAAGTGGACTCAGAACCAGAACCAAACACAGAGAATCAGCTTTCAGCTTCTATGCACCACAAATCCAGAAAACTGCAGAACAGCTGGAACACAAATCAGTTCCTTACATCATGGCTAGAACCTCACTTGTTTAAAGTTGCTTTCGACCCATAAAAACTGGAGTATTGATGATTTTAATGAAGACATTTGACAAAATGCAATGTGTGTTGCTTGTTTCATAAGTGATGACTGTATTGCATTTTTATGATGTAAAGCATCATAAAAATGATGCCTTGTTGACGAAATGTGACAAACAAATAAACCTTGACTTGGAAAGTGTGTTTTCATGTCACGACATGCCTGTAACTGTCATGTTCATTCAGACAGAGAAAGAGAAAAACACAGAGAGAGAGAGAGAGAGCTTTTAACAGATTAATAGGAAGGCTGAACATATTACAGAAAGTCGTCTCTCCATTTCATACTTTTGAGCTAGATTTTGAAATGTTGGCAGGTTTTTGGAAATGTTTTCAAAATTTTAATGAATTGAAAACTGTTTTTATGTTACTGTTATGAAAGAGAAATCAGCGTTAGGTCAAAACTTTAGGAAAAATGAAAGATCCAGAATCAACCTCAGCAATGAACAGTAAACGAACCTGAAAGCTTCGATGACAAAAGAAGAGACAGGAGAGGCGCCGGTCATCCCGGGCTGCCACGACAATGACACGCTGTTCTTGGTAACGTCGGTGACCTGAGGCTTAGACGGAGGACCTGGAAGCTCGTTCTCATCATAGCTCTTTGTGACAATCACTGCCGATGAGTCTGTTCAGAGGAGACAAGATGAAGGAGAAGTTTATCTTTACCACACTCCAGATTCCAGATATTGGCAACCTGGTAAAGATGGATTGCAACCTTTAAAATACACATTTAGTTTAGTGATAAAAATCACGCTTCTTAAATAAATAGTTTTGTTTAATCATACTCTTTATCGTTTTTACATTTATACCACACAACATTGCAATAAAATTCTAAGTCCGTATCACCCACCTCTGAGTGTTTGAAACCCCACAATATTTCTGTAAAATCAACAAGGACATACTTTTTAAATACAAAGTTTATTTTTTACCTTTAATTTTAAGTTTTTAAACTAGAATCAATGTCATCCTGCTTCTGTATTCGATATGAATATGAAGAGACAAGAGAATGAATTGATCAGGTTTGTAAGGATCAGGATTGTAAGTTAGGAATTGGCAAAGAGTTAAAAAAATTAAAAACAACAGAAACTGTGATAAAAATGGCAGAATGAGTGTAAGTTCTCATTATGCACTGTGAGAACGATTGTAAGGTCTCAAAAAAAAAAAAAAAAGAAGAAATCTCAGTTTTAGAGAACACCCAAACATTTGTCACTGTGAGATTATGTGACAGGATGACGGAAATGTGAAATATTTTATTTTAAGACATTCTACATATTACCAGACTCCGGAACCAACCAGAAGTTACAACAACGATAGAGGATGGGATTTACCTTTGACTTCCAAGAAAGCGCTCCACGACGTTTCCCCGCTGGAGCTGGTGGCCACACACGTGTAGATCCCCGAGTCTGAGAGCTGGCATGAAAGCAGGATTCAGAACAACACCACTGGCAGCACCGACACACAGATCAAACACACACTTAGAGTGAAAAGTCTCCTGCTGTAACACTTCCACTGGAACAATGGGACACCATGGAGAAGGCTGCGCAAGCTAGCCCTCTGCTGGACAAACTGACCGTCATTTCAAAGTGCTGACGCTAATTTCCTAATGAATTCCATTTTCCACTCGCCACCCTTCCATCACTTTCCCACCACCTCCTACTCATTTCCCCCCTCTGACCACAACAAAGCTGGGCTAATTAATTTAGGGTGGGCTGCTGGAACCCCTGGACCGATGACAGCTGGCATGCCTCTCCATCTCTCTCAGGAACTTTGCTTGTTTGTTGTTTTTTTTTTTTTGTTTTTTTTTGTTTTTTTGTCCCCGCGCCTTCCCTCCATTTATTAAATAACATGTCAGTGGTCTGCAGCTTTGTCAAGCGTAATGGGTATTCCGCCGAGGCCTCTGAGTGGGTGAAGGAAGATGTGAGCCTCTTAAATTCAATCTAGTGGAAATATGCTTCGTGCGTACACGTGTGTGTATGTTTCAGTAAGTGAATATATATTCACTCAAACAGCTGGAGTCCATTCATCCATCCACATCTGAGCCCGGCTGAGGTCTCCACACCTCTAAGTGAGACTATCAATATCAATGCTGGCTATTCATCTGGACATCATGTCGGATCTTTCTGATCTAATTTGCAAGCTTGAACATACACAACATATCAATATGTCATGACAACTTTTAAGATTTAAGACTAGAGAATATCATTTGAATGTCAGAGGACATATGCACCCTAAAATATTCATATCCTATTGTATTTCTGCTACAAGCGCAACCTTTTATTGGGATTTCATGTGACAAGCTAAAGCCAGCTGGCACACTGGCAAAGAGGAAGGAAAATCACAGATAAAGATCTAAATCTCTTTGGATTAGTTCACACAGCAGATCTCGATGCACAATTCAGATTTTTTGCAGAATGTTTTTTTTGTGTGCTTGTTGATACTAACAATTAACTGAGACTGGAATAATATGTGAACGGTTTACTATCCCAAAACGACCTGCATGGGTAGAAGAATGTTGGCATAACACAGCCGCGCACTGCTTATGGACGTAGTAATGGGTGGAGCTGTTTGTGCATAAATTTTAAAGTTTATTTTGTGATTGGAGCTGACACTATTGTCACAATATAACAAGAATAAGGAAACTAATAGAGTTGTGTTTTCTGGATCCCCTCAGTATGACACTGGCACCACCTTGTTTCACTACAGGGTAATGCCCAGTGTTGGTTTATCACCATACATTTTGCACGTAGGCATCAACATTTAACATTGGTCTCATTAGACCTGAGCTTTTTCTTTTTGTTTGCTTTGTCTCAGTTTTGGACAGCTGAACAGCACCAGTATTCACTTTAATCGAACCCAGACCAAGATTTTTAGGCGGACCGGATTTCACTTTTTTGGGCCGCATTAAAGTTCGACTGCGCAGTCACATCTCCTCAAATGAACCGGACTTCTGAGGCAAATGGTCAAGAGTTCAGCTAAACAGACCACACAGGGCTTGTGCGAATGCACCCATAATGTTCCAGTAAATTCAGAGAGGTCTGAACCTGTTACCTTGATGTTTTTGATTTGCAGGCTGCCCAGCTCCTGTAGCGACATGCGGGAGTCCTTTCCCAGTAGACTGACCCCGTCCTTCAGCCAGCTGACGGAGGGGATGGGGTCTCCAGATGCCTGACACTTCAGCAGCGCAACACTGTCCATCCCCAGGGTCTGGTTGGACGGGCCTTGGCGGATGATAGGCGGGGGTCTGTCTGTGAGAACTTAGAGACAAACAAAGAAAACAAGAACAAGGCATGACTTCACTGATAATGGTTGAATGGTTTTTATGTAATCTATAAAAATGACCTGATTCACAGCATTTTGCGTGACACACACACTGGGAAGGATGTGGGTTATCTGTCACAAAGCGGTCCGTTTTTTTCTTCAAGTCTAGCAATTGTGCCACAAAACATTGAGTATTGCAGTATTTCCAACCATTATGGAGAAAAAAGCTGAGTAAGGATTTTTAAGTTCATTGATGTGGCAGAACAATGGCATCCATTTCCACTTACTGCTGGGATAGTCTTATTTTAACACACTACCCTAGACTCTGTGGTACACTTAGGCGGTAAGGCTAGCCTTGCCTTATTGTCTCAATATGGCTCAGATAAATTCTTCAGCATGTGCAAAGTTGGACACAAAAAAAGGTGAGTTTTAAACACTAAACGTTCTAAAAATTAACTTTCTTATCTGAACTATGGGTTGGTGCATTGCAATGGATCTTATTTCGTGTGTATGTATATGGGACTAAATTCAGATACTGTGCAATTCAGATTTTTATTTATAAGATATCTAAGTATAAAGAAGTAGTTTTCCTTTCACTTCACATATATTTTGTCTATCTAGTATACAAAAGTAAAATAAAATATCTTTTCAAGTCCTTGTATGAATCTGTACCAAATAAAACGAGTAGCATCCTTTGTTCAAATCTTTTGTTGCATTTCCACTTTAGGTGAAAGCTAATACTTTGAACTCCATTTGCACAGGCAGCTAAATTTGCTAAGATGTGCTAGAAAGAAGAAGAAGAAAAAAAGCCTGTGGGTCCATTCAATGAAATAGTGGCGATCTCCAACAGAATTTGCACCAAAGCACAGAGACAGTTGATAATTTAGACTTGAATAATGTGGAGTCCCCGTGGCATCTCAGAACCTACATTAATTAGAAAGTATGGATTAATGATGTCAGACCTGCAGGGGCTAATTACCAAGTCTACCTCAGTCACCTTTCAACACATTATCACACCCGCACTTCCAAACCCTATTTTCTCTTTCACACTTCCACCTGACAAAAGAAAGTGATTCAAGGTAATTCAGTTTTGAGCGGTTGTAGTCGGGGCCCTTCGCTTGGGGTCACCCAAGACATTGTGGGGGGAAAAAAATGTGCAGGAGCTAGATAGATTATCCACCACGAGCCAAATGCACCACATTAATTTCCGATATTTGTTTTAAGGGCAAATCTAATTAAATGAATCAGAAGCAGCAGTGCAAATGTAAGCACATTATAATACTCGGCGACTGTCTTGTACTTTAAATTATTTCTACAAAGACAAGGGAACTCCCTAATGAAACAAAGACGCATAAGTAAACCCTTTTTTTCCCCTTTCTTTGCTAAACATTTCACACTTTCTGGCAGAATGTTGCTTTCACGACTCTGTTGTGAGTGTTAAATGAGCGAAGGTTGTAGGAGAGTTAAATTGTTTTAACAGAAGCATCTCAGAAAACAGACAGCCAAGCTCTGTCATGAAATGCGATCCCTCAGACTCTGGTGCTGATGGCAGGGGTGACAAAAGGAGGAGGCAAAGCTCAACTTGGCCTTGGGTCTCTGGATCAGGAATTTCTCATTACAGATATCCTTGAACTCCACAGACTGCTGGCGGGACTCAGGGCAGTAAATCACACAAAGAGTGCGGCAGGTGTGGCCGTGACCTTAGCCTGGCCCTTCTCCACCGCGTCCTCCTTTCTCTTGTTTTATCTCAGACCTGCCTCGCCATCATTTCTGTTAACATTCCTCCAATATGTGTCGAAAGAAAAAAAAATTGTTCTTTTTAATAAAAGAAAACAATGAAGAAAAATATAATAAAAAACTAATATTTCCCCACCATGTTTTGGGAGAAAAGAAAAAAAAAAATAAAACAACCCCAACAAAATATCAACAAATATTTACCTCCAATGGTATAATTTTACGAATATTTGCAACAAAAAAACAAACACCCTGCTCCTCCAAGCAAAATAAACAAACCAAGTGTTTAAATTCAAAAGAAAAATGATTTCAAATTCAAAAATATTTTATTGATCCCAAAAGAAAATTAAATATTGTTGTAACTCAGATTAATTATATATCTTCAAATAGTTATTGTAGGTGAATAAATAGTTTCTTAAGACTTTATACTTAAGATAATTTACAGTATAAACACCTTGTAACTAAAAGTAAAGTTTGCTGGAAATCTTAACTTATAAAACAATTTAATATAAAATTTCATTAAGCAAATAAGATATTTATAATCAATAGCAAAATAAAATTCAATAACTTTTACCGCCATGCTAAAACGCTAAAACAAAATAACACTGTCTATCATTAATAAAAATAAGCAAAGTTTTAAAGAAAAATAAAAATAGAATAATGCCTACAAGAACTTTTAATGGTGCCACAATTTATTTATTTTTTGCTGAATTTTATCTTAAATACTCTTGGAAAAGTGATTCTAAATCCACGATTTTACAATTAGAAAAAATTCAACGACAAACCTGCAACCTGTAACGCCAAAAAATGCTTAAAAGGGAGCTGTTGCTCTGCATTCATCTTTCGGCAAGCAGGTACTTCAGCAGGCACGCGGATACTCGTCTGTCTTGCCATCACAGCAGCTGAGCAGCTTAGAGGCTCCCACGCTAAGCAAGGCCCACATGATTCATTCCATGGAAAGCTATTGTCATTCACTCACTTAATCTCTCTGTCTGCCTGTCCTTCGCTAACTCCCACGTACACATTTTTCTGCCTCGCACAAATACTGAACAGGGAGCTCGAAGGAACTCAAGGGCAATGCTTTATTTCTATAAAAAAAAGAGAGAATTTTAATTAAATTTTGTGGTTTTTCTTATTTATTTCTGCGCTGGCGACAATGATAACTCTGTTTGTGTTTGTGCTGCATACTTCTGAAGTCATTTGAGGTCAAATTCTGTAGAAAACCGAAGAAAGCAGCTGATTCGTTTTCCCCTCCTTTCTTGGAATCAAGCAAACATCTGGTTTGATGGACATGTTTGCAGCGTTTCTATGCTGAGTGTCGGTGCTGGAGTGGGGGGTAAAACGTCAACCGTCAGTGTTTCTCTCCCCTCCCCTCCCGCCTCTCACCATCTGTGACCTCCAGTTGAGCCTTAGCGAGGATGCTGCCCGCGACGGTCAGAGCCTGGCAAATGTAGTAGCCGGCATCTGCTCGCTGCACAGATGAGACGGTGAGCTCTCCGCCGGGCGACACGGAAAAGCGACTGTTGGGCTGCTGGGGCTGGTTGGGGAACAGCAAAATCTGAAGGAAAGAGGGGAAACAAACAGCCAATTAGAGAGAACACGAAGGCGGTGCGCCTCGGACAAATTACAAAAGTCAGCCATCCAAGAGGCACGAACAAACACAGAGGAGACGGTGCCCACTTCCAAACAAAGAGATTAAAGTGTTACAGCTAGGCTATGAGCAATTTCATCTCCCACTTGGCTAACCAACCTCAAACCGCAAAACGTTTCGACACTTTGCAACGTGTTTTTCTGAGGTATGCTAGTAAAAGATTTTTGTGCTTGATGGCTTTATGACTTCTCTTCTCTCTGCTTTAACTAGATTGTAGAATAGTTCCCACCACACCCCCCACTAAGGTAAGGGAAAATCAATTCATTTTATAACTCCTGGCAAAGAAAACAAGAATTGCTGCTATTACTGTGTTGTGTTACACAAAAAAAAAAAAAAAAAAAAAAAGTTTCTGCACCTCTTTTCGGTTTTACAAGAGTTTGAATTCTCTGAAGCATGGACCTCTCTGAGAAAATACAATATTGTTCACCAGTCAGGTTGTAGTTTTCTCAGGCCTTGTGCAAATGAATATGTACAACGTATTGTTTAAAAAACAGTGCTGCACATTTTTGGTTTCGGAAAAGTTTTAGTCTATATAAGCCCACAAAAATCCACCCCTGAGCGATGCTGTGTACATGCCAAACCCATAGGGGGCAGAGCAGCGCAAAGCCAAAACACTTTTATGTATATAAAAGTGTTTTGAACTAAGCCTCATAGAGAGACTGATTGATCAGACGTACATAATGGAGGGTTAAAAAAAAAAAGTCCAAATGACTTTTTCCAATAAAGTCAAGATAAGTTTATAGAATTTTATTTTTTTTTAAATATCTGGGAAGTTGAATCATGTTCACATTTTTTCTTTGGGAAAAAAATCCCACCATAATGAGCATTATTGCTTCTCCATTGTTTCGCTCAGTCAGCATTGAAGTATGACTATAGTGTCATTCTCCAAATGGTAAGCAGGAAGATAAAAAAAAATTAGGCCTTATTTGTGCCTGTTTAAACTAGATTTAATTATACCTAATCACATCATCGTAACAAATGATGTTTGTTTAACTTCGCCGTCTCCACCTTAAGCACTCGTGAACTCCATTATGCTGGAGTGTTGAAAACGATGGCTTTTAATTATCCTTCATTTGCTCTGTGAGCAGATACCTTTGTATCTCGGCGGTGAGGAAGCGGACGTGTTGACAAACACATGGAGAAGACGTGCGGCTGCTTGTCGCGTTCGGTTTGATTTCAGAGTGACGCGTCATCAACCTTAACTTCCGGGTTTCCGGTGACGTGTGACGCCGCCTGCGGTCACCCGCAGGTGCGCAAGCGTCACTCTGGAACTCTGGACAAACTTGCAATTTGACTCAGGCTGTAAAATAACTGTCTTGTAATTGTCGGCGTTGACTTTGAGTGCGTCGCGCGAGCCGCGTCGTATCTGCGGCTCATCGACGCGCTTCCTAATTGGCGCCGCTGTTGACCGTAGAGAGGACACCCGGGTATTTGAATCAGCTTATCTTGCTGGAGAGAGGGATCGCGTCGCTCTTATCAGTTCAGGTTCACGGAAAAGCGATTAGAGCTCCGCCGCGTCTGCTGTCGTTTGGCTGGAAACAAAGGCGCGGCTTTGTGTCTTTAGCGGAGATGCCGATGAGAGATGGGCAGATTGCGATCCAATTCTGATTTGCCTGGTGCCACGGCGTGGTGAACAGAGGGAGCGCTTGTACAAACAGTGGAGGGGATCCAAACAAATCAGTGTTAATGACACGCCGCTTTACAGAATCCAGACACCGCTTGGAAATGTTCCCCATTTTGTCACAGCGTGACTTCAGTGCATTTCACTCAACCAGAGGTAGAGCGTGATTGCATAATCGACTGAATAATCGATTAAATAAGCAATTACTAAAATAATTGTCAGTTACTGCTCTGGTGTATGTGGTGATTACTAATGTCAGAGGAATCAAATGGTGAGTTCAGGGTGTGTTGGGTTCTTACCTGACTCCCCTCCTTCTGCCAGAAAACGGCCGGCTGGGGATTTCCTTTGGCTTCACACGGGAAGGTGGCAGTGCGGCCTTGAGACACGATCTGATCTCGAGGGCGGACGACAAACTGGGGTGGAGCTGGAGTCAAAGCACCAAAGCAACAGCGTTAGAGGGTGACTGGGTAGACTGGGAGCTGCAAAGCTATCAGAGCTGGAGAAGTTCGAGCAGAAACGAGCAGAAAGGAAAAAGACGCTGCCGTCCAGAGCTTCCATGCAACTTCAACTTTGTTTTCACTCCGAACAGAGAAGAACACTAACACTGCCATGGTAACCGGGTTGGCCATTCATTCAGGTAAAGGCTGAATCTGAATGAATGACAGTCACAGTGGCATTCACACAACCAGGTGCCTCAGTCACAATGGCATTTAAATCTGGGACAACACAAAGGCACAGCCATGCCTTCAAAACACGCTTCAGATTTATATAGAGGAAGGATGACAGCTGGATCAAACTAAGATCTGAGCTTTTGTATTCAAAGCAACGTTCTTACAGAAAAAGGACATGAGCGAAACCGGTTAAGATTCGCCCAAAACATAGCGGCAGGCCGAGAGAGCATCGGCAAAACATTTGACAGACTAACAGAAGAAGAGCAGAAGAGAACGGCGAAGGAGCGCTGGAATGTAGTTCCACCTTCATCAGTCGTGGTCGATCATTTGAAACACAGATGTGGAAAAAGATTCCAGAAGCAGGGCTTAATCTGAATGTTAGTTTAGTTATTCCCAGGAACACAGAGGAGGATTAAATATGAAACAAAACTAAAGAACAAGAAATCTGACTCTAATCTGAGACTTCTGACCTTTTTTTTCCAGAATTGTGGGCACAATGACAAAGATGAGCTGCGGCACGAGGAAAAATGTCAAATTTCAATGTTTTTTTTGTTGTTTTTTTATTACATGACAGTTTAAAGTCTGAATTCTACTGTTTCTCCTGTGGCCTTTATTGTCTTCCATGTGAAATCTGCTAAATCTTCAAGTATTTTTCAGTTTTTGCTGTAAGTATTATACTTTATAAAGAAAATAATGCTGATTCTGTCATTTTTACCTCCCTTTCTTTCCTTTTTGTGTCTCTTCTACAAAAAATACAATAAATTTGACTTACTATGTCTCTCCATTTTGAATCGACTCTGCTGTGCATATGACAAAAGCCGTTGCCATTTTAAATGCATTTGCACCTTCTCCCTCTAAACAATAGACTGTACATAAAGCTGATTGTTGCATTTAATTTTGCAAAGTGAACTTGTTTTCCTTTTGACAGCAGGAAAAAAAAAACCCTTTGTTTGCAAAAACAACAACAAAAAAAAGCTGCTTGTATTGAAGTCAGTAGGACAATAAGCCCAGCTCTCCTTTGATTTATTACCGCAGAGAACAATTGCACAAAAGCTTTACAGTAAATTACTTATTTCAAATCTTCTTACTGGCACATAATATTCAGATGTTGGTGCTTAATATACTTACTCCAAAATGAACTTCTGTCAGGACAGTAATTGATAGCATTCACTCTGACAACGTATCAGGGCTGTTTTAGTTAGAAAAAAGAGGAGTACTTGTGAGTTTGAAATTTCAAACATTTTTGACTTTTGAATCAGTGTCAAATGTTCATGTTATTCAAAAAAATGTTGGAAATCTAAAAAATTCCTATTTTTTCCTAACAATATTTCACCTTTCTCAAACTCAGAAATGTTCATGTTTTTCAAGGTATTTTCTGACAATCTTGACATTTTTAAGTTTTTTTCTAACCATTTTTTTTTCAAACTCAGAAATTTCTTTGTTTTTTTTTCCCCTAGAAATTTCTAGCTAATTTTCCACTTTTTCAAACTCATGAATATCTGTCTTTCCCTGAGCTTATTTTTAAAAAAATCTAAAATCGCTCTAATGCTCCGTCATAATTTACAGACCGACTCAAACTGAGATAGACCCACTGAGGATATAAAAACTGTTTCCATGGTAATACGCATCCTGAGAAAGAAGATTTGGCTCCCCAAATAAAAAGTAATTAACAGACGTTTATCATATTATCAGGGCTGGAGACTCCTCTGTTCAAAAGCACATTAATGACATAAGATACGTCATAAACAACTCATTTCTCTCTGTGGGAAACGAAACTGGAGGAGCATAATAAAGTCTGCAGAGACCAACTCCTCACAAGTGCAGGCAACAGATTAAAAAGGTTATGATTGGTGCAGACAGTTAGAAATTCAATGACACAAAAACTGAATTGTCGCAGAGCAGCATCTTGCACCCTCTCTGTTGCTTTTGCTTTCCATGTAAGTCTTTCTTCTAATAAGCCAGCTGGTTTCTGTAGGGCCAGTCTCTGCCCATTTGGCTGCTTTCTGCATGTAATCCCTTTCAGGGTGTGGGGTGGTGGTGTGTATTTGTCAAAGATACACACAGTTGGGAATAGTACAGATGGTAACAGATTTACTGCCTTCCCGTTTGGCCTTCTGGAGCTTGGATATCTCGCGGCTCTCATAATGCCGGGCCTGATACACAGCTCCTAAATCATGCTCTGGCAAGGACATTGTTCCCTCCCTCTTCATCCTCTGCTCTGCTCCATCCTATAGCCTGCATTACTAAGTACTCACTAAAAATATGGTTTCAAACGTTATACAGCCTTCCTTTATACAGCGCTGTAAAGCTTTGCCCTTCCTTTTTCTAGCTTTGCCCTTTCGCTTTCAAACAAGGCCGATGCTGTGCGCCAAATACAAAAAGAAGCCAAATAAAAAAAGATATTTTAATACCTTGTTGAACTTTTACATATTTTGTTTTTTTCTGTCATGGGCCTCAAAATCGTTTCCATCAACTGCTTTGAAGCAATGATGGAAAGAAAATTCAAAATGACTTCCTCAGTTTTGCAAAAAGCGTTTATAATCTCACTTGTGGTGGTTTCTGGCTTCTTCGGGAAAAGAGTTAATTCGCTAACGAAGAGACAGAGGCGCATTTGTCAAAAAAGTTCCAACGTAGCAAACCTTCCACTGTGCTTTAGCAGAGGCACGAAACTAAAAAAATAAATAAAATAAATCTAAATCCAAACCTCCAGCTGGAAGGTGGGAACTCTCCATTTTTCTGAGATGTGTGCTCCATGCTATCTTAGAACCTCTTCTTCCTGTTAATCCCAGAATATGATGAAATTACGCTGGTTGATTCCCCGTAAACCAGCAGACGGAAATACACTTATTTTACATTTTCTTCCCTTAAAGTTTTATTAATTTTTTTTTTACGACATTTCAAAATTTGCTCATAATTGCCATGAAAACGGAATGGAAATATAGAAAATGATAGTTTAAAAATGTAAAAAGGAAATGGGTGAGTTGGCAGAACGTGGGCTCCATGTGTAGAGGATATATTCCTAAGGAAGTCCTGGGTTCGAGTCTCGGTGTCTGACCATTTGTTACATCACTTCCTCTCCTCTGTCTTCTCTGTTTTCTATTCTTAAGCTGTTTACTAAAAACCACTAGACTCAAAAAATATATATATATTCAGCCCCACTGATTCAATACTTTGAGAAACTTTTTTGAAGTAAAGTATTCCCAGACAATGACCATATCATCAGATTACTAAAATAGTAGCTTAATAAAATTTCTTGCCAAAAGATAATATAAGCCAAAAATCCCCAAAACAAAACAAAGAAAACACTTTTTGCAAAACAATGATGTAGACCATTATTTCTGAAAGGTATGTTTGCTCGGTTCTGCATAGAAGCCAAAAATTTGACATTTTTGACTTGACTGTTCAAATTACCTTCTTCCACATCTATTATGTCTCCTACATGGCTTCTGGGAAACTTGTGTGATTCTGACTACTTGTAATGTCTGGATCGCATATTGAGATGAATAGAAGGTCAGAGGGTGATAGTTTTATACTCCTGCTTTCTATGTTTGGATTCAGGGACTCTTAATGACATATGAGCAGCCGCTTCCTGCCCTCACTTAAAGAAACACGTGATTGGAGGGGATGGTGGTGGGAGTGGGACATATTTAATTCATGACCAGCCACATCTGCCCGGTTCAGAGAGGGCTCTGCATGCAACAGCAGTCAGGGTGAAAAGAACAAATGGACAAAGAGACAGAGATCCTTTTGGTGCTCGCAGTCACAAACATTTCCTCCTCCTTTAAAATCCCGTGTTGAGTCATATTTTATTCAAACGTTGACAGCAATTACTGTCTCTTCCCACAGGCTGGTTGAATGTGTAATTTCCTCCATTTTCAAGGAAGCTGACAGTTTGACAATCATCGAGCAGCTACTGCTGTTTTGGCAACCCGAGTCCTGCCACTGAGGAAGCGTTTTATTCTGATTTTTCTTACACCAGCTTAGCCTGGAGTTCGAAAAGCACTTCTGCCGTTCTTTCCCTCCCGATGCCCCTTCATCGTTTGCTTCTGCTCCTGAGGGCGCACATCTCATCAACGTGCCAACTCTAATCATCTGAAACTTCAAGTGCTGCAAATTTTGGTATTTTCTTGATCTCTATCTGTGGAAAATAAAATAAGCTTCCTAACTGGGAGACGTGGGCACCGGTGGAAAAAAAAAAAGACGAAAAAAGTCTCGTCCAATACAAATGGATCGCAGTTCGGCGTTCCAGCAACCCACAGATGGCATTAGGACTCGCAGTTGAAACACGAACTGGAACATATGAGATGACAATGTCTGAGACGCCGATGCAGCCAGCCCACTCAGCCGTTGTCAAAGGACAGTCTACAATCTGAAGAACTACCAGAGTGGAGAAATATGGGTATCATTTGCCAAAGCTGAGCTGTTTTACATGAAACATTCCTGCTTAGAAATATCTCCCTGCATAATATCCTTCAAGTTATTGTTTAAATTTTACCACTCACAGTCATTTATTAGTAGCTGAGTGTTAGTGTGGGTCTTCATGTAGTAAAAACTTCACTATAAACACTAATGTTGCGTTCATGTTTAGACTGACTGTAAACGATTCTTTACAGTCAGTCAGATTCAGGTTAATCAGATTAATCATGATAAATTGATAATTGAAATTATTATCAATTTTTCTGGCAACCAATTAATAATCAGCGAGAATACGCACACTCAGTAATATTAAGAAAATATGTTCTAAAATGCAAGTCAAGAAAGAAAAGCTGAGATTTTGGCATTTTTACTTTGGAAGGATTTCATTTGAAACTGCACATTTTTCTACAAATGATCAATAATTCACCAAAGAAATGTTGTTGTTGCATTTTAGAAAATAGATTTATTTTGCTTTTTGAGATTAAAGGGGTTGATCCTTTCAGCTGCATCTTTTAATGTGTTTCTGATGTATAAAAAAGTGGTTAAACAAAACAATCTGAAGAATGTTGCAACTTAGTCATCCGATTAATTGATTAATCGTCGGAATGAATGATCTTTTGCTATAGTAAGCGCTGCTTGCAGCCCTTTGCTACTGGCATAAAATGGTTTCATTTGCTAAAATGAAACCAAAACTGAATACAGATCAATGATGCATCATTTTGTTTTGTTTTTTTATTTAATCAAATTTTAATCATTTGGATTTTATCCGACCTGAACTTCCCAAAATTATTATTATGCATATTGATAAGCTCTATTAAGTCAAGTGTTTCATATTCTGCATAGTTGCAGAATCTTTAGATAACATGGTACAGGGACATGGAGCCGGCACTTTAAGGAAATGGTTGTGTTAGTCAAATACACAAACGTCAGTCCAATGGTAATGATCTTAAAGCATTCAACGGCTGTAATGGTTAAGTGAAAAAGCATGCAAGATGAGTACTTACCGACAGGGCGAGCTGGAGACACAACAAAGGTGGAGTGGATACACAAAAGAAACAAAGTAAGACACAGACGCACAAACAGAAAAGGAACAAAACAAACATGATAAAGTAAAATAAATCAGAATGAATGGCATGTTGAGCCAGGGACATGACAGAGAAGATCCAGTAGGGGGCCGTCCACTGTTCAGTGTGTTCAAGTGAAAACAGAATCTTCTCGGGTCTAGAAAACTGATGAAAACGTCCAAGTGGGACGAAGCGGATTATAATGTGGCTGTTTTTGCTCTTCAGGGACAAATCTGCAACTGGACCTTCTCTGTCTTCACAAATAAAATCTACTTTTCCATAGGTGATGTTGGTCAGAGCAATGCAAACATGTTTCACAGCTGCTGATGGATAAAGCAGAAAATAAAGCATAAACAGATGCAACAAACACCCAGAACTCAGTGTACTGGCAACATCGTTACACTGCATCATATCAAATCTCCATCTGCGGAAAGAAAACCTAGAAAAACCGATCCACGCATGAAGTGGTGCTTGGCAGAGAGTCAAGCACTATTTTTGAAAGTACTCTTACGTTTTGAACTTTTCTACCTGTAACAACCATACACTTCAATGTATTTTATAGGAGTTTTATGTCATGGACCAACAAAAAGCTCATTCAAAATTGTGGACAAAAAGTTGAAGAAAACAATGGATTTCAATTGAAAAACTATGAGAAAATTGTGACTTATAGTCTAGAAAATACGGTAATCTCAGCCTTCCAAAATGGCTCAAAAACTAACAATTATATAAAGAACCAAGACGTTTTTAAATATAGACATAACAATAAATGCATGTTTTACCAGTTTCTCAGTTTTGTCATGCTCAATGCTCATTGGTCCCAGAATGATGCTAAAAATTGACAACAATGTTTTTTCTTAGCTTTTTTAGCTTCTTGTCATTGGGTTGTAAAATTCGCTAAAAGTTGCAGGTCCAAACACAACACAGGTATAAGTTTAGCTGACAATCTGTGGGGTTTTTATATTATGTAAATCTCTTTATTTGTAAAAGTGTTGACACCTATAAATCATTTTCTTGGTGCTTAGTGTTGATTTATCATATAAAATTTGAATAAAAACACTGAAGTTTGCAAGGTCATATTCAAAAAGTTAAAATATGCATTCATATTTTTGAAAATAACCTTTAAGGAGATATAAAACATATTTTTCACTGAACCCAAATTCTGTATTTTTTTTTAATGGTCTTATGTAATACTATTATCTTAAATGTCTTGTTTTTATTACCTGTAAGTGGAACATCATCATGCTTAACAGAAACAAGTTTTCAAACATCATCCATCTACGTGTAATTAATTTATACAATAAAATGTTCTGCAATATTCTAATTCATAGATTGGCTCTGTAGTAATCGCGCAAACTTAGAGTTTGAATACTTTTGAAACCCGGAAACGTCAGTATCATTAATTTATTGCAAAGCGTCACAACAAAGGTCAAATAACACAGAAAAACTGTAGAAGAACAACTCAAAGCCACTTGTGTTCTTATTTTTTCCCGTTTTCTATTTTGGCGACACGGTACACAGATCTGTTGCTGTTGATCTGTTGATCTATAGCAATTAACTGACTACAGTTAATTGCTATAGTATCAGGATTCAACATCAAATAAACATTTCCCCACACAAAGATCAGAACATTCAGTCCGTTACAATTTTATGCTTTCATGCTTAATATTTATTTCATAATTATTAATAAGTCTGAACAACACTCTACTAATGATCTGCCAGGGCTTGTGTGTGGGTCATTTGTTTCTTCATTTATTTTTTTTACTGAACTAAAACATAGAATTCCACAGCAGATCTACATGTTAAAGTTGTCAAAGTCAAACTAGCATAACTGTCCTGCGTCCCACTCTCTCACTGTTATTTTTAATTTAGACTTCCGACAGTGTTGACAGTAAGAAGCAAAGCACTTCTCTGGTTTTCTTTTAATGTAACACGTAAATTTAAGATTTAGCATATTGACAACTTGACAGCCAAAACTATTTGTAGTCAGTGTCAGCGAGAAACTTTTTGCGTGATCTTGTGCGCCATCAGGTTGTAACATATCTATCTGTGGCTTTATGCTACTGTCACCAACCTGTTTTCAGTCATTTCCTGGCCTAAAGTGCTCCACAGAGGCTGTGCATACTGGGTGTAATGGAAAAAAAAAGACTGGTGCAAATAAGAAAAATTATACTCAGAACGTTTTTATTAACCTTCCAAACCCCTGGTGTGGTTAGAGACGGTGTGCACCAGTAATCTGTGAAATGGCCTTGCTGACTGGGTGGTCGCAGCGGGGCGTTAGCAGTAGGGAGGAGGCGGAGGGGGGGAGGCAACAGTCGGCAAGAATAAGAAGAGAAAGTAGGCTGACAAAGTGTGTCGCTGATGGACTTGGAAATGTAAATAATTAAACAGATTCATAGACTGTAAGCATCTCTGTTGGCAATGAAAGTCTGTGCGCTGCGTCTTCATTAGCATAAAGAAATCCCCGCAGAGAAAACTGTCAATTTAAACCTCATGCTGGCGTGAGAGCGAGGACCACAGCGCTCCGTGGCGCCTAGATGCGCTGCTGCTGTGTGCTCGGTTTGCAGGCAGGAAGACAGAGGAGAAGTTCTTTACCTCTGACTGTGAGAGTGGCCGAAGCCTCCAGCTTGCCCACGCGGTTTTCGGCCACACAGGTGAACGTGCCCTCGTCGCTGATGGAAGCTTTCTTCACTCTCAGCATATAGTCGTCCTTGTCGTAACGGATGTCGTACCTGGAAGCAACCGCACGAAGCATGAAGTTCAGTTAGAGCCCAATACATATACCTTCAGCTTTGGTGGAGTTTCACTGAGGACAGATTGAAGGAAAAACTACTTTAAAAAAAAAACTTTTTTCAAAAGTAGTTTTTCAAGAAAGTCCTCACTTGAGGTTTCTCTTTATATGTTCACAAATAATATGTTATTAAGTGTGTTACAGTGTGTGTCTACAAGACAAGCATCACAATCATTTTTATTAAATAAATTGCTTATAAAACTACACACAGTTTGTTTCATTTGTAGTTTTTCTGATATGAATTAAAAAATAATAATCATTTCATACATTATAATGAATCTGTTTGTTGTATACAGCATGAGCAGTGCAGATGTTTTAAGCTAGCAGACATACTGCAGGTTGTATTAATGACATCATTGCATAATTGGTCAACAAATAAACAAAACAAAAAACCCACTAATCTTAGAAGAGATTACACTCTCTCTTAGGATCTTCATTTTGTTGAATGTACTGTAGTTCGCTGCTGCCTTGAGACCATTATGTGGACTTTTAACAAAATAAAAAAAAGAACTGCAAAAAAACCAGCAGCACTGAAATTATACAGGAGCTTTTAACTCAGAATATATCTATGTGCCAGAAAACGTTTAATCTGCAATCCAAAGACCAATAAAAACACACCCAAGCCCAGTGCGCTGAGGTCTGCTCAAGTTAACCCTTTGGACACAGAAAAAGATCTCCGGAAATGAATATTTTTTAACAAACTACACCTGAGCAGAGAGATGTACCTGAACTACAACATAAACATACAGTACTGTTGTAGCAGTATGGTACAGTACCCTAGTAGTGTGACTTGAAGTTTTGTAAATTTGTCATTTTTAAACAGATGTTTTAGTTAAAATGGCAATATATATTGACAACTTGATTGTTTATAGACACAGGAAAGTAAAAAAAAAAAAAGGCTTTTTTCTACTTTATACAACATAATAGATGACAGTCCATGGCAATACTTCTTGATGTGACTGTAAGGGAACAGTTTTCCACGGTCCATTTCCTTCAGAGGGAGAAAGACCCCTCTGCTCCAACTATCAGGTGTACTGATGGCAGCTTGCCACTGGCAGCTGAGGAACTAATTTACCCCGTCTATCTACGTCTTGTTTTTTTTTTTTTAACCTACTGTTATGACATTTCCTGAAAAAGCAATCAAAGGCAGTTTTATTGAAGCACATTCCTCAGCTATGACTGCTGGGTTCCACCTTTCCACACTGGCACTTAAAGAACCATAATGATTATTTGACTGAGTCATGACTGAATGCTTTGTTCTGGGGGGAGAGAGGGGATGTACAGTTCCAGGTACTGGTGGTTGGTGTAGATAAAGGATTTATTGTTACAAAAAACCCCAAAAACAAACAAAAAAAAAAGATGAGTGGGATGGTAAGGAATGAGATGGCACCTTTTCAGACAAGCCTGCTGTCAAAGGCAAAACAAACAGCGCCAACAGGCAGAGTATCATTTCATATCCTGCCTTCCGGATACAGTAGATAGAGCAACATGAACTCTTGAGTTACCAGGGGGGGGCAGGTGACGAAGGGCAACAAAGTCACAAGAACAAGTTAGGGCAATGCAGTGGATCCCGAGATGTGCTAATAAGCAATATGCTACTACATTTTTTTAAGGCAGAGTCACAGAGTCATAAATATTTTCTGTTAGACTGTTCCTGTGCTTCAAAGGCCTTTTAATGACATACCAGAGAAAGTCCTGAAATTTGTAAGTCAGAATAATGCAACTGAGCTCCTACCACCGGCTGGAGGAAACGACTCAAAAACCTCTGAAGATGACATGAGCGCAACATCCATTTTCACAAAATGTAAACATTAATTGGAGAGGCATCAGATTTTAGTGGGTTTAGGATTTTAATTCACATTTATTTAATCAAGGTCAGCACAGTGAACGATGTTACATGATAAAAACTGGAAACCGCAGTTTTGTATGAAGGTTTTCTAGGCCCACGGCTAATTTGTAAACTGATAAGTCATTGGTCCTTGACTTCTCATTTGTCTTTGGCAAAAAGATCACAAGCTGTTTCTGCCGCTAGCATCAAAATTTTGATTTGTTTTGGTTGTGTTTACCCAGAATGCCCTGCTATGCAGTTGGCTTCCTGCTTTTGGAGCGGTATCAAATGTAATCACATGTGCATTTGAACTGAACCACAGTTCGTCTCAACCGAACCGACCTAGGTTTTTAGGTGGAGAAGAATTTTGGTCTGCACCAGATTTCGATTGCGTATTGACATTATTTCACATTGCAGGTAGACTCCAGTATGTTTACAGTGTTTCTGTTTTTATTCTTACCTGTTGATGTAAGTTAAAACTGAAATAATTTACATATTTTCAGACACAGAACTTCATTCTAAAGCATATTTTCTCCTATTCTGACCACTCAGTAGAAATAAATTAACAGATCCCTTTCTAATTGACTTAAACCCACCTTTCTCCCCCAGTTCTGATGAACTTCAACATACAACTTGTAATAAGTTGTTGACTTGTGACAGGAGAATTTGTTATTTCTGTTAACTGGCAATTGAACTGTTGTACCCGATAACCTTACATGGAAGAACATTTTGTTAAGAAGACTCTTTACCTTTACAGTAATTTTCGTCATAGTTACATAACCCATCATCAAAAAATGAAAAGAGAAAACAAACAGCAGTTGAAGTGTTCATTGAGGTTCCCACAGTCCTGACTGAGCCCTTGTTGTTTTGGAGAGGGCAGGTATGCACATATTAGACAAAAATCTTATTTTTATTGGTCCAGCCTCAAGCAACCTCTCAGAACACAACCTCAGGCTGATTCATGACTTATAAAAGGGACATGAGCGCAATCAATCTGTAATCAACTTCCCATATGGAATCAGCTTAGATGACAAGATGAGTGGAAATACTCTCAGGGATAAGAGGCGGTTGCGGCCACACATGTAAGTGCCCACAGCGGAGGGGAACAGTAGCTCTTTATTGCTAGAGCTCTGTTCTCCATTAGAAGAGGAATGTAATTGCACATGTATGAGGGCTGTGGAAAAGACTGGAGCACCAAGTTTGTTCCACTGGACTCTGCCTGCATTTCAACCAGGGGAGGACATACTGTTCACACACGGCACAAAGAAGACCACCGTTCACGCGCACGCACTCACACACAAACATTCTGAATCCAGAGTCTTTCACTCCTGCGGGCTGATGAGGAGTGATGGGAATGTAAGCAAATGCCAAAACAAAGCAGCGTTTTTTTTTTTTCCCTTGCTTGTCAGCTTGATGTGTTTTCAGCATGAGAAGGCTGTGCTGAGATGAACATTTAATGGGCATGCTTTAAAAGCAATCCATCTCAAAGATCCTCCAGATCATTTTTAAGAATTTAACTTTCAAGTGTCTGTCAGGAACACAGCCACCCTTGTTCGACCTTCGCTCTTATGCCAATTCACCCACATTAAGAGATTTCCATCTTTCACTATACAAACAGCTGAATAATCGTGTCTACAAAGGGATTTTATGGCAGAATTTTATCTGCAGTACCTCTTTAAGTTCAGATTGATAGATCCGGTAGTAGGGGGGAGGAGAGAAGGCTGTGTGCCGACTCTCAGCATGAGTCAGAATCAAGATAGAGTTGGAGTTTAATTCCAGCAAAGAACCTTAGCCAGGCTGCTCTGCCAAAGACCCTTTCCTGCTTCATTTCATTCTGCCAGCTTGATCCAGTTTCACACCATCGGACCACTGATTTCCCTCAAGCTGATCAAAGGAAGAGAAGTCTACCTGTCCAGAACTTGTTGCCCGTAAGAGAGAATCAATTACCCGCTATCAGTTCTCATCTGGCTTCAATGCAGCCTTTGGCCAGAGCTGCCCTACCTCTGGTCCCTGGCAACGTCTCCCAGCCAAAACCCCCCACTGGGATTCATCAGCAGTCAGGCATTAATCGCAAAATAGTTTGTCAAAATTTCCACCTTCAAATACCTGGCTGTTTTGTGGGAACAATTTTTTTCTTTCCAATTTAGTTATTTGTTCCATAATTAAAGTGTTTTTTTAACTGAATTGAAATTGCTTTTCGGTGGACATTATGGCACGACTGGAAAAAAAAAAAACGTGGCAAGAATGAAAAATGTGGAGCCACAGAACAGAGATCACTGATCATTTATTTTTTAAGTAAAATTTGTCTGAGTGGAGCAGAAATTAAAGAACACAAACATCAAAGGAATCAATATTACACTGAGAAATTGGTGTGTGAGAGAGAGAGGGTTTTCAAAGCACTACAAGTAATGATTACGTGCATATTCCTGGTATTTAAAAAGCATTACCTAAATTATTACTTGGTATTTTAAAAAATTCACAGAGAAATTATCTGGTGACTGTTATTGACCAGTTCTCAGCCAATTGAAACCTTTTACAGTCAGATACAGAGTGAAGATAACTTACATTTATCTATTTTAATTGCAGATGAAGCAGAGAGACATAAAGAAACTTTTTAAAAGCTCTGTTCTGACATGTCTGAAAGTCTTTAAGGCTGGAAAAGAGTGAGAAAGAGCAAGACTTTGAGGATTTCTTGATTGAATACGGCAAAGTTGCCGTGTTCAGCTGCCAATCTCGGTCTGTCATAGAACATGTTGCTTTGCCTTTTACAAACTCAAGAGTAAAGGTTCCACATGCATTGTCTAAGCTGAACCACACCGGTCCTGTTTAATCTGCTTTAACTAGGCTCTATATTATTTGTCTAGAAAGTCTGGTTTGTTTGGGGAGGTGTGAATATGCAACAAAACTTTAATGTAGATCAAAAAAAAATTCATGCAGCAGGATGTTAAGCTCAGTGTCTTCTTCAGGGCTTTTTGTGTTGTTAGTTTCAGTGATCTTGGTGCAGCGCCACCACAGGCCAGGAGGTAAACAGGTCTCTAAAAGGGTTTGGATCATTCGCCACAGTTCAGTGGTAAAGTGAACCACACCAGGTGAAAATGTTGTAATGTTAGTCCCCAATCAAACTGAGTCCACCAGACTATTAGGTGACTACGAGGTATGCAAACTGCATGAACTGTGCTAATGCAAAGATGCTAATGTTAGTTTAAAATACAGATTCAATGACAATTTTGTGTTTACTCTAAAAGTATTGGTAAAACTCTGTTTTACATCAATTGCTTTCTCAAACATCTGTGCCATAAGCAACGGCCATTCACAGCCGCTAAATCTTTTAACAGTTTTCAGAGAAAAATAAAAATGTGGAGATTCAAAATCAGCCATATAAATTCTGATCTCTGCATCTACATCAACCTCAGCTCAAGCTTGCACCCTAAGCACCTTACATATTGAAGGAAGTAATGAAAACAGGAAACAGATCCTGTTATCTTTTCCTTTTGCAAAGTTGCAGAAGCGGGGAAAAAAAGTAACCCGCTGAAACCAGATGGTCAGCATAACACGGGCACTTCTGTCACTTTAGCTTTAACAGCTTACTCAAATAGAATGACCCATCCATACACCTCTATCATACAGCTCTCTCACAACACACAATTGCAAACACACACATGCACTCACATGCCCCTGAGGAATTGAGTAAAAAAGAAACAGCCTTTTCTGCTGAATGTTGCAGTGGCTCTGCTGTGGAGGTCAACAGGAACAGAGGGGATGGGAGTGGGGGGTCTGAATGCATATGGACTGCAAGACATTAGAGGCTCTGATAAGGCACAGGAAGAGGCCACAAGGGTCCAAAACAAATGAGGAGACCTATGGAGGGAGAGACATGAGAAGCACACTAACCTTGCAGGCAAATAAAGCTGGCAATGCACACTGCTAAGGTCTTTTCACAGGGGGCTTCTCAGGGTGAGGGATGGAATCTTTAGCCTAACAAGACACAGTTTTCCTCTCCTGGCAGCTGCTGTCAACACCGCCTGTCTGATACTAGCAATATTACACATTTGGAAAGATGTGCAATACATCATTTTGTGCACAAAATTACAAATAGGAACAATGAAAATTTGAGCCACATACCAGTTTTTTTGTTTAAAGATAAAAGATTTTTCTTGGGGAAGCACAATCTGATAGCATCAAAATCTTATTCAGTGAACATTGATGGAGTGGTATTATATGTTTTCCAGTCACATAATGTTATTTCATAGCACAATCAAGTAACAGTGTTACTGTCAGTTGTTATGCAAATGCTACATATAAGAAATATAACTTAAAAGCAAAGAGGAGTGCAGGTGGTGCTCGCTCCACCCAGCCACTTTGCACAACTGAATGGTTGCCATGGGAGATTAAAAAATTTCTCAATCATGCATGAAATAATCATATCAACACTCCAGGTGTGTATTTGATGAGGGGATAACATTATAGCGTGATGGTGAGCTCAAAAGAGATGTTTTAACATAATACTGCCCCTTTAAGAAAAAAACTAGAAACCCCAGTTCCAACTAAATAAACAGGTGGAAGGGATGGATACATTTAATACTTCATGTGCTGGTCAGTGATTTTATACCTGCCCGAAGTACAAAAAAGCAATTCTTTTTTCTCGCGGTGCTCAAAGTTCAAGCCCAAATTGCCAGATGTTTGTCAGCACACAAGCAGGTTCTCTTACAGTATTGATGGCAACATTACCCCCCATTTACGAGGTTAAAGGATAACTAATAAGGTAAACTAATGGAGCCACAGAGCATGATCATTGTCATTTTATGCTTCACTTTTACCTGTTTAATTTTTGCATGTTAGTTTCATAACAACCATCAGACGATGATGCTGGAACTCCAACAAGATTAGAGAAAGTTTAGCTTTACAAATGATCCAGACTAATAAGGCAGATAGGCATCCAGTAGATGATGCCTTTTTTAAGAAACACCTTTAAAGAACAGAGATATAAGCTCTTATGGAGAGCTCTGGTTGTTTTTCAGCTCTGTCTCCTCCTCCGTTCCATAGAGATGGAAGGCACTGCCATCTTGGCGCTTCAGATCGGCGCTCTAAGTGCCAGCGTGTGCATGTGTTTGCCTGAGAAGCAGCTGGAGCCACTGAGCATATTAACAACCTGTTTACTCAGCTGAGGTTCCCCTCCCCTCCACCTCCTCCTAGAATGAAAGCAGTGCATTACAGAAAACCCACCGAGAGACTGGAAGCATGCAAAAAGGCCAGCAAAGACAAGTTGAAACAATACGACAGTAAAGAGGAGCGGTCCTGCTAAGTCCTTGCCTCTTTCCACAGCTTATCATAATAATAAGGACAGTGTAACCTTTCGGGATGAAAAAAAAAGAAAAAAGAAAAGGCAAATAGAGACCACTCCCCGCTGTGTAGACAACTGCTTGATCTGCTGTGGGCTTTTATTCTCTTTCACACAAAGTAAAATACCAGAAGGGACTGCGTTTCTGTTTCCAGTTCTTCTTCTTCAAATGCGCCTGTCACTTATCAAAATGGAAACTTCTCTTGTGTGGGAAAATCCATCCGTCCTTGATGTTCGCCGAGTGATGATAAGGAGCAAAGAAAACAGGAAGAAAATGTCAGAATTAAAATATCTGCATCTGAACGCTCGTCTTCGCTGGCACCACTAATTACGCTTCGGGGAGGGAAAAAAAATTTGTAGATTGCAATTAGAGGCAATAGAATATTTATCTCTTTTTAATTTTTTGCTCTATATTTCGCCATGTTTATCATCCGAAAGTATGGCCGCACTTCAAAGAGATGTTACAGTCGGCGATGGACGCCGGCGCATGACACGTATCCAACTCCATAATAAATCTGTTAATTAGTGTACAAAGTGAACTCCGTTCCAGAGCCAACTCCCTATCACAGACTGGAGTGAAACACTTTTATGTGTTTGCCTTGGCACAGGGCTCCCGTCCCACTGCCCAGTGAACCGAATCCTTATCAGACGCAAACAAGCCGCCTACGCTCCGCTCAGCAGCTAGCCTTGGGAGATGTCAGGCCCGTTGAGTGTGTGCTTTATGAGGTGATCCAAGCAGAAAGCGACCGGCCTGTTGGCTAAAGACGGAATGCTGGTCTCTTTGAAGTCCACTTCTGACAATGACACCGATGCTGACCGTGACTTGAGTGACTTGCAAGCGAGGGAATAGGTTGATTCACACACACGTACAGCTGCCAACAGCAGTATTGCTTTATGATCGGTGGCCGGAGAGATGTGCTGCAGCTGGAGACGTCTCTCTGTAAATTACACACTGTCGCTGCTTCTCTCTTAACGACTGTTTTTGTTATTACAGTCAGGGCCAAACGCAGGTGTCATGTCCGTGATAACACGCCGACCGAGTGCACAGGGTTAAACGTTTGGAGAAGGTAGTGGTCATCTTCCAGGTTTCTAACATCTCTGCGCCTCTGGAAGGTCTTGTCATGTTTTTTTCTATCTTTGTTTCTGTTTGTTGAAAATAACAACTAGATTTCTCTGCATAACAAGAAAATATCCATGATAGACTATACTAAGGCAATATTACATATATTCCAGGCAGGATCAATAACTATGTTACCTTCAGTTATTCTAAAAAGTAAATATCAAATCTGACTTAAAATGCATGTTTTCTTGCAATTTAACACCTTGATATTGGATAATGTCACTAGGTGTTTGCTAATTGCTGCTTGCTAGCTCCAAAGTTTGGAAAAAGCAGTTAAGAGGAGGAGCTTTGTCCTCAAAGGCGGAGCTAGGTCAGCTGAGGTAGATTTTACAGCGAAATTGTATTGGGAGAATGAAGGATTCCTCAAACATGTATAAAAGAGCTAAGGCAACACTCCAGGTATGGTTTTGGTGAGGGAATAACATTTTGACATGACGCAAAGCTCAAAACGTTAATTTTAAACAATACTGCCACTTAACATTTAGCCACAATAACTTAATATTGTGAGTGATACTCTAAATTTGACTAAATTAAGAAGAATATAGACATTCAGGGTCTCACAACATGAAAGTATTGTGCTCAAAAGAATGATACATGAATGACAATCTTTTAATTCATTAAAAACTGTATAAGCTTTTAAAATAACAAAATTAAGTAACTTTACATAGAGACTCACTTTTAAATTCTGCAATGAATTTATCAGTTATTCAATATAGAATGACAACATGTCTGAAAACAGATTCTGTCAGCAGACTACTTATCTGCCAGGACAGAATGCATCTTGTTCAGAAAGTTGAAAAAGCATTTGTTTTCTTATTGGCTGTCTAGTAACGCTTCCCAAGGCCTTCTTCTCATTGGCTGATCAGTACCTTGTCATGACTCCTTGTCAGGAACTCAGGTCTTGAGCTGATGAAATCCTGTTTTTAATCTATAAAAACCAAAACAACTGAAAAAAGCTATGCTTAAATTAGCTTCATATTCCTAACCTATACTGTTTTATGGATGAAACTCTTAGCTACTTACCTATCTTGGACTCTGTCTTGCAGTCTACATATCATTGTAATGGTTATAAAGAACATTTCCTGAAAAGAAGGAATGCTTCACCCAAACACTCGAGATGTGTGTGCTGCCAACAGATGTACAAAGTGACCTCTGGTAGCTGCATCAGGAGGAAAACCTGAAGTGTTAAGATACTACCTTGTACCAGCCGTCGGTACAGTCACTGCCAAATCAAATGTAGTCTGTCACGTCGGTACAGGAAACAGATTTTTTTTCGAGAATATTCCCTTAAAAGAGCGTACCTCCCACGGGGAACATCAATGTCATCTTTCCTCCAGCGAACATTTGGTTGGGGGTCTCCTTGTACCTGGCACCGAAACTCAACCGTCTCCTCTTCTAGGACCACCTGGTTGATTGGCCTCCGAAGGAAGGTTGGTCGCTCTGCAAGATGTGCAGAAAAACAGATAAGCATCTATTTTTTTTTTTTGGCTGCTGTATGCAACTTCAACACTATCATCATGGCCTTTCTCTCTCAAGGGAATCTCTTCTAATTCTTTATTTTTACTTTTTTATCCTTCATTGTCCTGCCAGTCTCTTACTTTTGTTCTTAAACAAACAAGAGAGAAATTTTGAAATGGTACCCTGAAGCCAACACTCAAACAAAACAACTACCATCCAGCTTCTATGGTTCGTTTCACTCCAGCTCTGCTTTATGTCATGACAACATAATAGCAACTCTGAAAATAAAAAGTCATAAAACTCAATGCAGCTCAGCAGGACAAATCTGGCAACAAAGTCTAAGCAACAGAGCTTTAAAATCAAATTCTGAGAGTACCTGGCCAAAGCCATTATTTTTCATGAAGGTATGTAGTAGCACTGTAGCATTTAACACAGGCCAAAACAGATTCATGTTTCAGGGAAAATTAGGAAATAATGCGCACCAAACACTGTTACTTGTGCCGTCTCACTGTCCCGTTCTCCAACCATGTTGGTGCCCACACACACATACATGCCAGCGTCAGTCTTTCTTGTGTTTGAGATCATGAGCTTTCCTCCTCGAATCTAAAGGAGAAAAACAAGTAACATTTTTCAGATGTTTACTTATTTACACTGACTTTTTTTCTTTCATTCAGTAAAGTCTTTCCCTGTAAGTTCATTTGGAACAAAATATGTTTAGTACACACCAGCAAAATAACATTTAACATTACAGCTCAGCAAGTTACAAGTTCAAACCTCAGAGAATTTTACTGGGATTTTACTGACAGAGCAACATAAAGTAATGCATGTTGTAAAGTGGAAGGAAAATAACACATGTTCAGCCACCATTACTGGAGATTATTTTAGTTTTTTACCACTGCTTTCTGAAAAGGGGAGGATGACATTTGTGTAAAATATGCACAAGTTTTTTGAGAGAGACTTAATTTTCAGCTATTTGTTGTTCCTAACCCTTGTGAATACCCAGGTTTCCTCTGTGCTTTGCTGCAAGTCTTCTATAAAATGCCTCGATCAACTTTTCACATCTAGAGAGCAATTTATTTTAATCATTCTTCTTTGAAAAACAAATAAAATTCTTTCCATTTGCACAATATACCTCAATGAATAACTATTTCTTAGTTGTTGCATTGTCTCTAAATTGAATTTAGATCTGGACTTTGACTGGGCCGTTCTGTTTTCTATCTTTCAGTTTGCTTTTGTTCCAATTGCAGATGATGGACTGAACATCGGAGTGGGAACATCTCCATGACGATATCACCAACATGTATGGCATGTTGCTGGGGTCTTCATTGGACTATGTCTTCACTACAGTTCTCTAACAAGGTCGGTACTTTCACAGAACAACCAGATTTCATTTTAATTGCTTTTGGTCAGACCATAAAATCCCAGTAAAATAAACTAAAGTTCGGGGTTGTGAAAACAGTCTAAGTAGCTGGAATTTTTACAGTTTAACAGCTGATACTGATTTTTCTGTTGGTTTAGATTGTCTACAACAATACTCACAGTGACCCTGTCTTCCTTGTCATCAATTCGCACTTTGTCTTTCTTCCAGTAGATGGTGGGTTCAGGATGACCTCTGGGAGGGACACATTCAAGTATTGCTGGCTCTCCTGCCGCCACCACCACATCGGTCGGATTCTGCCTGAAGTCATCTCGCAGCACTATGTGAACAAAGAGCCACTCGGTTAGGGAAAAGTGAATTATAACACACTTTATTACGTTAAAATCACAAACTTCAAAATAGGATGGACCCCTGGTATAATACTAGCCATGTTTTAAATATAGGTATCGGTCCGATAGATAATACTGGGCCGATAAGTATTTCTGGATGGAGAGCGGAGCCGGTTGGCCGTGTGGTTTTTGTTTGGTCATGTGGCAGCGGTAGTGATGCAGGGCAGGATCGTAGGATGTCCAATTGAAGACAACAAGCAGCGGTCAAGTCCAGGGCCCGGTCAATTTTTTGAAAGGTGGTGAAATATATAAAACATTGCTAAAAATTAGATATGAGGAAAAACTATGATATTTATATGAGACACTGAAGTCGACCCAGTTTTGTCAAAATGAATCGACCTTAATTTTCTTACTTAAAACACTAAATATATATTTATAAACTTTAATATGCAGTGGAAACCATCTTTAGAGCACAGAAATAATGTCGACAGCCTTCCTTATCTCTGTGTACAGCCAATCAGTGTCAAGGAAAACGAATGGCAGTCTTGGACTGCTGTTTGCAAATATCAGCCAAGTACCATTGTGTATAAGTTTCAGCATTTCACGTTGTCTTTCAAATATTTTAGAAAAAAATTCCCAAAAAATGGCAAATTGTCCATAATTCCTTTAAATTCCAGGAAAATTGCAAAAAAAAAAAAAATTGCAAATGGATAGTAGAATCTGTGACAAAAAAACTACTGAAAATCATGTGTTTTGTCTCTTATTTCATTGTGCACTACTGTAAAATATTGATAAAACAAACCCACTGCAGTCCTGCTAGTGCTTTACATGAGAAAAATGTTTATTTCAAAGCAGGAGTGGAAAAGTCTTTTCAAAATTTATTCTTATGTATTTTTTTGTGAGCACCGTGCACTTTGAAATGTTGCAGGGCCTATCTGAGCCATTAAAATGGAATATGCAGCTTCATCTGACTGGGCACAGCAAAGCGAAAGCTAATTGGAGCTAATGGAGGTCCCAGTGGAAGCAGTAGAACAAACAGAAGCAGAATGCCCTGAAGCCTGGTGTCATTCACTTGTGAAGGCTAACAGGGCTGCTTCACTTTGGTAGTGATGTACACATACACTTTTACACACACCCAAACGTTCGCTAACACACAAAAAGCCAGTGGGTGGTCGGATGAACAACTGTGGCCTTGTGTCTAATCACCCCCCAGGTAGGCCTTTCATTAGAGAGATAACCTCTCGCCCTGCAGAGTGTTCAGAGAAACACACAACAGCAGCTCATTATCAGACGGGGAGTGCTGGCATCGCACAGACACACACCGACGCGCACACAAATGCAAATGCTAAAAGACAATCAGGCACAGAACCAATGAGCGATATAACCCCAGAACAGGAGGCAACCTTTGTAATGAGAAAACATGAAAAACAAACAAACAAAAAAACACTCCATGAAAAGTAGTTTAAAGATGTAAACCTGCTCCTCCTCACCTGCCTGCATTGAAACAGATTTTTTAAAATCTATAATGAAACTAATCCTTGACGGAGCTCTTTAGGAATTTCAGTGTCAGTCTTTATTCCATTATGGAAGCAGAGAAGGGCACACCATTTCTCTGATGGATAAAAGGACAGAGGCTTGTTGGGTGGGTATTTGAAGGTGCTTAAGGAGGGCTAAATTAAGGGCAGCACCACAGGTCCTTATGCAAATTCCATGCGGGGGCGGCAGGCGGCGGCGACGGGGACGGTCGGGGTTATAAGAGGGGATAACTGGTCCCTGCGCTCCCAGCTTCTCTCATCTCTTCATTTCCTCTCCTTACCCTCTCTGCAGAAAACGCTGCAGCCATTGTCTCCTTATTTATTTATTTAGACCAAAGGGCCGGCGGATTGGAGGAAGGGAGGATGCTTTCAACCCCATTATCCTAGGGATGCACAGGGGGCGCAGAGAATAGGACTTTTGTGTGACATGAATTCAAATGAAACCTTTACACTGGGGGAATTGCAAGAGAATACAGAGGAGGCAGCGATGGAGATTTTCACTCCTCTTACGCAGGGCTGCCCTCTAATCTAAAGAGCTAAGGTAATTAGCCAACTCCAGCGTGCCGGGCCCCCCCCAGCCGGGCCACCGTCTCCCAGCTCTCTGTATTTGCATTACAAACAGGCGTCCCGCAGTTTAAAAATCGTAGCCTGGTGCGGACCAGAGTTTTCAATATCACGTCGGCTTTAATTGCTCTCTCCCATTCACCGCTGATAGCACCCGTGGGATTTTTGTCAAAATCAATTTCCTTTGAAACAGAGCGGCGACAAAAGAAACACGCGTTAGGTGCATCATTACGGCGCCCGCGCCACGCTGTCTAATCTAATCTGTTGTGGCACATTGTGTCATGGTAAATGCATCTCTTACCCCACAATCTACATAAACACGACAACACAACAAACACAAACAAAACACAAAAGAGGAGACGGGACACGCTTAAATAAGATCCAACACTTACAGTACAAACATGCACCTGTTGACGAGAGATGATGTTTGCAATAAGTGTGAGTATGGGCAACCATGACAACACCTGGCAGGTATATTTACAAGTCAAATGAGAGGCGGAGTCATTCCAGTGATGCTGTTCTGGGCTAAAGTTTTCAAACACTTGCTCCCAGCCTAAATCTAAGCACATTGTCTTTTTTTGGTCTGAGGACATAATCACTTGGAAATCATAAAGATTATGCATTTTAAAAGAAGTTGATGATGGACCAAACTGGGATCATTGTCCTGATGCAACACGCTACTACGCCCTGTTTTAAATGAACCAGTGCATCACAAGCAGCAAAGCAGACTCTGAACATGATGGCACTGGTTATTGTAGCGCCGTACCACAATACATTTTTTATCTCAAAACGTCCACTAGCTAACTAACAAAAGTGTGCAAAACTCTATGGATATTCTGCTAATGTCAAAAAAACTGAATAGCAGGAATGTTGTGTTTTCAATAAATAAGAAGTGCAATAAAAACCACACGAGAATAAGTCTGTCCAAGACTCGTACTTTATTGATCCCTTGGGAAGACTCCCTCAGGAAATTGAAGTAAGTCATTAAAAATCATGGCGGCAACGAATGTAAATACTTATGTGAAATATAGTCAGTCAGTGATTTTAGAGCTATGGATTCAACAGTTTTGAATGACAACTTTTTCTGAACTGTGAGATGGTGTGAGAACATTGTCCCTGGAGACCAGTTTCTACAAATAAATGTGTTCCTGTGTACAAACTGGTGTGACTCGTGTAATGCCACAAAAGTGTCTCCATTGCAGTTTTACGAAAAACACAAATTTCCAATCAGATGAACCCTGCACGATGTTGATGTGAAACTGATTTCAATGAATTATTGAAAGTATTAAAAACAGTAAGGTCATCATTATTCTACAGAAGGAACAAATGCTGAAAAACTCCTGCCCATCTGGAGTTGTTCATAACAGAATCAGCAGGTATCTCTTTCACAGCACCATGACTGCCTGAAGGCACCTCCCTGTGAGGCTCTCTGTCAGGAATCATAAGGCAAGCAAATGTTTTCAGATTTCCACAATAACACAGGCATTTCATTTATATATTTATTTATTTTTTTGTCTTGTTACTCTATGTGAGCTGCATTAGATATGGTTGCATTATTAAGTGGGTCTGTGAATACGCTGTCAGAAGATGAACTGTGGCTCCCAACACTAAGGCCCTGCAGGCGTTTAGACCCACATCATCCAACAGACGTAGAGTAATTGACTTTCTATCCCCTGAAACATTCAGCTCTTCTTCTTCAGCTAAAAACATCCCACCTCCTGCAGAGCTACAGTAGGCCACAAACTCTGCCATCTTGCTTATTAATATTTATGCTCATATATTTATATATATATTTTTATTTTTTTAATTTAAACCTCCCAGTTGGTTAGGTGTACATCTGTCGATCCAGCTGTGGGCTAAAAACGAACCTCTGTTTGAGAAACATGCACTCTTGAAGCTAATCTATTTATTTCCATCATATCAGGGGAGTTCAGTTAGGAATGGAGGAGCATCAACACCGCAGTGAAGTTTCAACTCTCTTCAGTTGGCTCTGACTTTATGCCAAAACCGTATCACAAAAGAGACAACCATACAATTATTTTTCAAATCACATTGCATTACTCTAACATAGCAGCCTTCTGCCAGAATCCAACAGGGAAATGTCTAGTGCCTGATTAACAGCATAGGCCATCAATATACTGCAGTGTATCTTATTGTGACTTAATAGTGTTTAAATAGTGAAAGAAAAGAGATGCCTAAGAGCAGCGGTGGGCAGACCTTTGCTAACACACTAACAGCAGAGCTAATTTTACATTTAGTATGTTAGCGTTTTGGCTAACTTTGAAAACGTTTAGCACAATTAGCTTCTTAAAGTAATACTTCTCAGTAAACTCAGTTGAATAAGGTTTGACATTGTGAAGAATTGTCCAGGTAATCAGACATTTATATGCTCTTATGTTTAAGGTGAAAGAAGACGGTTCCGTTTTCTCTCCTCTCTCCTTTTTCTAAAGAATTTTCATTGAGCCAGTAGCAAGTATCAACGAATGACACATAGCGAAACCACTTACATGAACAGACAACCAGGGGAATGAAAGAAACTTATACAAACATATGAATTGTTTTTAGATCTTTGTAGTTAGTACTCATCCACTTGTGATCCGGTCCTTCAAGTTATGTTTCATCTGTGACATATAACAAATGTTGAAATGATCTCTGTAACATTAGCTTCTGCTAAATACCATGTTGCAAAAGTCCTTTAATGTTAGCGGAACTAAGGTTCATGATTAGTAATTTAGGGTTAGCGGAGCTAACGTTTTGCTTAGCGGTGTCCACCACTGTGTAACAGTGTCCCTTGACTACTTCTGAAGACAATTTGTTATGCTGAGTGTTGGAGTCAAGCGGGTTGAATATAAGCAAGCACCAAACTTGTGAAATTCAAAAACATTTACAGA